ATGTAAACAGGCCACATGCTGCGTTCATCCAATCAATGACACCGACACCGCAAATATGCAATAATGCAGCACACATCTTGTTTTCTGTTGGCTACACAGCAGAATCACACAGAGGATGACATCAGTGTAGACGTGTCTCAAATAACCCAATGATAGTCAATAATGTCAGACATTGCATTTGAGCTGAAACTGAAGAGTGAATGAACGGTCGGTAAACTGCAGCGTTTTGCTAGCTGGTTATTAAACTCAACCAAACACGTCTTATATTTGAGGTTAATCAGATATAGACAATATAATAGTAATCCTACAACTTACATCTGCACAAAAGGACGCGAATGCGCACATGAACTTGACAGTGCTTGTCTGATGTGTAACTCTTGCTGTGCTCTTCCTTTAACAGTGCGCTGAAAAACAACATACAACATTCTATTACAATCGTGTTCTCATTATAATGTTATGTTTATGATAGATTGGCACTGCACATCTTGCACTTAAATGCATTTCATGATCAAAGTGATTCCAGGCATCACTGCAGCACACTTTCTAATCCAGTTTCACTTTATTTCGCCGATCTGGAAGGCGTGCTGTCTAACGCTAACAAATCAGACTTCAGGAAACGCCCCAAACGTAATAACCAATCAGAAAAAAAGAGAAATATATTTTTTAAAGTCAGGGCGATCATCATTTTAATGATCAATCCTCGCTGTCACTTACGAGTACTCTTGCCCATCCCTATTTCTCAGTGATTATTTGAGTAAGTACAATGTAACCTCATCACCTTAAAATAAAGTGTTACCCAAAATTGTCGAAATGCCCATTATTCGCGAGCATCCTCGTAAGCACAGTCTTAAACGAGCTAAAAAGGCTTATACGAATGTAAAGAGTTATGAGAACATCGGATGCGTGTCAGATCCGCATCATGTGCGGCAGGTCTTAAAGCGACAGCAGCCTAATATACCTGCTGCTGTCTGTCATTAATGTAAATCAAACAACAAAAGACAAAGTTAAAATAAACAGCTCTTGACTGAATCACTTTTGTAGCCTTAAAGGTGCTCTATGTAGCTTTTCTTCTAAAATGAATCCTTTTTTTATTGCCTGTGTGTGAAGGGGTTGTAATCACACATTACAATGATCCACTTGTCGGGTTTTGCTATTACCTCTGAAGGCCAATATTCATATTTATATGTGAAGTCTCCGGGTCGGATTTACCACGAAATCCAACGGATGTGACGTGCATGCGCGCTACCGAGCCTCTCTATTTATATACAGTCTATGCGACCGACGGCACTGCAGCTAACGACATGGAGTCTGATAACACCCCAAAACGACCTGCCTCCAGCACAACACAAACTCCACAAATATATAAAAAACAAAAAAAAGTTTTATCTGCTGAAGCTCGTCAGGCCAAACGTGATTCTGATCGACTCAGGACGAAAACACGGATCAACATCGGCAAAGCTTTTGAATTATTAGTAAACTCTAATGAAATAGCAAGGTAAACTAAATGAGACATGAAATGAGTACAAAAGACTGTTCCAGGATAAGAAAAAGTAGGTGCTTTAGGATGTATACTTGTTTTATGTACTAGATCTACTGTCTAACTTCACTCATCCCACTCCTATCATATTGTTTATAATAAACATTTCCAGACACGTTCAGTACAGTAATGCTACTTCCTACTGTCTTACTGTTACACTGACATTGTTCAGTCTAGTGCACCGTTTTCGTTATCATATTATACATTCACCTATGTTGACATTGCTGATTGTGAAAGATACACGAATAGTTAGTGAAATGCCTTATGCTAGATAACATCACATGTCGGCTAAATGCAGTCAATGTAACGTTATCATGGTACGAGCATGGAGCATTAGTTCAACGTCAAGCTGATAAAAGTAGCCTATTATTGTAACGTTGCAGTGGGAGTTTACATGAGTTTCCAGCATGTTGTGTGATGCTTTCGCCGTTGCATTGAAAGTCTCCGTGTGGCCGGTAGTGAATGCTCGCTCTTGAGATCGCACACGCACACAAGCGCTCTTGTTGCAATCTGAAACATCACCACTAGAGGCCACTAAAAAATACATAGAGCACCTTTAATAGGGATAAATCTATATATTTTGGCAGAGCAGGTAAAAAATCAGAACCGACCTGACTGGGCCAGTAGAACAAATCCTTTGCTATATTTACTATATAGGCACAGCTAAATGTGAAATTTATTATAATAGGCTGTAAAAAAATGATGGGGTTGGAGCTAAACTCTGCATGACAGTGGCCCTCCAGGAGCAGGACTCGACACCCCTGTCTTTAAATGAGTAGTTTAAATGAAACACAAACCAGAATGCTTGAGGAATGTTAATACCCTTAAAAACCCCTGAGGTGCTTATAATTCATTATTTTTTTCCCCCATTTATCATCCTCAGCTGGAGGAGGAGCATGCTGTCATGGAGCCAGCATTGAGTGGTGTGGCCATGGCCCCACAGGGTTTAAAGAGGAAGGCAGAGACTCCGTTAGGTTCATCTCCAGAACCTGGACAAGTTATGCAAGAGGAGCCCAGTGCTAAAGCACCAGTGAAGAGCAGAGTGAGTAATAATCAGCAATGAATATGCTTATTAGATCCATGTTACCATAAAAAAGAAACCCCTAAATATTTGAATTGTATATAGTGCCAAATGTTCTAAATATAACTGCTCACTCAGTCACTCTATGGCTAAAAAAAAAAAGTAAAAAAAACTCAAAATATATGGCTTCATTTTGCACTGTAATGTTTCTCAACTACTGTCTTCTCACCCAGGAGGAGGAAGATATTGATATGGACACAGTTCATGACAGCCAGGCATTCATCTACCACCATCTGAACATGTTGGAGAGACCTTCAACTCCAGGCATGACAGAAATACACAACACACTCAAGAGTCAAGACACATTTTTGGAAATGGCTATTAAGTCGAATAAGTCTGATTTTTAAATGTATCTCTGCCTATAGATATTAGCCCCTTTCAGACATTTAGATTATTGACATCATGGTGCTGATGTGATGTGTGAATGGTATCTTATGGGCAAAAAGATGGAATACTTTTGCCTGTGTGAAAAGCACATTTGTGTATTTACTGGAAAATTCAATCTGGTAATTTAGCGTAATCTAGTTTTAATGTGTTTTATGTTGCTTCAACTTTTCTCTCACTATTTCATAGGGAAGGAACCATCTTCAGTTGAGCAAGCCATTCTGTCCATGCCAGGAACACCCATGCCCACACTGAGCAAAGAGAGCACATCTGCCAAATATGGAGATCACCACCACCACCATCATCATCATCATGAGCACAAGAAGAAGAAGAAAAAGCACAAACACAAACATAAACACAAACACAAGCATGAGAGTAAGGACAAAGATAAAGACAGAGATTCTCACGCTTTTAGTAACAGCCCTGCCAGTGGCCGCTCCATTCGTTCTCCATCTCTGTCTGACTAATTGTCCAAGTCCTGACTTACATTAAAATACACATTTTTAATACATTTTTGATACATTTTTTTTACCCATTTTTCAGTGCTCTAAAGGCTGGATTGCCAACATGCAATAGGTCAATAGTTCATGCAAAAAGGAAAATTCTTTCATGTAAATCAAAATGTTCATGTTGAGTTAACTAATCGTGGCTTGTTTCCCATCCCTGTAACAACCTAACATATGCAGTACATGAGAAGGAAAAATTTGTTCTGCAGTGTCATCTGACCACACGTAAAGCTGACTGGTTTATGCCCTCTTAACCGCACACACACAGATCCACTGACTCTCACCACCCAGGACCACTAGGGTTAAATGCAGCCACTGTATCTCAAGATAAATGTCAACATTCTGAAAGTACTTTTATGAGGGAAAATTTCACTCTGTGGTCTCTATGGTTTACTTAAGGTGAGCAAACTTTTAAATAGGAAATATGTTCATGGTTATTTGAATACAGTAAATGTAAGTAGTACGTTTCACTGAACTTCCTGTTAATTGGAAAGTGTAATAATTAAAGCCATAAGTCATTTTTACCAGTTTCACATCTACACCCCAGTCCAGTTTGTATTTCATTTATGTAGGAATTTTATAATTCAGTACTGCAATTACTGAGTTGTTTTGTTCACTTGTTTCTTTTTATATTGTATAAATCCATAAAGAGATTTTGTTGAAAGCTTTGTATCTTTGTTTTGTTTTTTTGTTTTGTTTTTTTGCTACAAAAAAAAAAGTTCTCAAATTGGAACTCTGTTTTGATAAATAGGTAAAAAAAAGTCATTGTCTTAATTTTTCTCAGGCATGTACATCTATACATATGGTGAGGAACTGTAAGCTTATTGAAATTAGTGTTTGGGATGCACGCTTGGAGTACCCTGATATTAAGAACAAAATAAAAATTTAGCAAAGCTTAATTTCTAGTTAAAATGCAATATGTATTGATCCCTGTATGATCAATGTCTCCATATACAAAATGTAGTTCATAATCAGTTTCCATTTTTTGATTCATTGTAGAGTTTCACTATGTTTATCGAAACATGTCAATCAGTATCCCAGATAATTACAAAATACACTTACAAAAAAAAATGTCCATGTTCTGTTATGATTTACTTTCATGATTGTTTAGGGGCCTGCAGGCCACTATGATGTTATTTTACTAAAACTATTATTTTTCCTTCTAATGTTTCCAATCTTTTTAGACCTAACTACAAAATAATTTGGGCCCAAAAATAACTCATTGTTGAATGCAAATCCAAACAGATAACTAGAATTGCTACAGTTTGAGAACCAATAAGGGAATCTTAATGCATTAATTGCATTTATTCGTGCTTTTCTTTTCTTTTCTTTTTAAGTCAAATGTCTGCTTGATATCAATGCTAAGTGTTGTGGGGGCTGTTAAAAGTCTCAGCGTAATTCGTCACAGGTCTGCCAGATGTGACGTTAGTTCATGTTTCCTTGTGTGTATTGGTTGCGGGTAAAGTAAACATGTGAATCTCGGTTGGAATCTCACTCAGCGCTGCAGCGAGTCAGGGACCAGACACACATCAACCATGCTGCAACTGAAATGGGTACGGTACGTTTTTGTGTTCTCTTTATAATGAGAGTTATTCAAGCTGACTTTTCTATTACATTTTATAGATGTGAATAAATAATATGCCTTGACCCAAAGGCATTATAACGCCATTGTATTGCACATAGAGGTCTTTTAACATAGTCTTATGAAAACTTTTAAAAGGCAGTTTATTGGCAGCTGAAAATATAAATATATTAGACTGCTTGGATTTGCTGTTTGGAAACCTCAATTATCTTTTTCGCAATGCAAGAAGTCTAATAAAAATGCTATTACACTGTCACTATGTCTTCTCTACCGTCCTATATGTTGATAGAAATGTGAAATTAACTGACGGGCGCTTTAAATTTGCATTATTTTACAATATCTACTACCTCATCCAAAGTTTGAATGAGTGTGTTTTACTGCTATATCCGTATTCTCCGTTATGTGTTCTCTAACGGTGTGTTTGTACGCAGGTATTCTCCGTTGTGTTCTCTAACGGTGTGTTTGTACGCAGGTATTCTCCGTCATGTATCTTCTCTCGCGGTGCACTGTGTGCGAGGCTTATCCACATAAGCGGTCCGACAAGGCAGGATCATCAGATGAGTCTTTCTCTGGATGTAGGTTTCTTCAGAATTTGTTTTATATAGGCTATATATATAGGCCTACTATATAATATAGGCCTACATAGATTCGGTGGTGGCTTTTGTGTCCTCATGCAGGAAATATCATGTTCTTACTTAAAATATTGAACAATATAAATTGTAAATGTAATATAAATTGCTTTGTAATCTAAAGCAATCTTAGCCCTAAATAACACTATTTGAACTCTAAGCATATTGAAGTTGTTTAAAAAAAAATGTTTTAGACATTTTACAGCCTTTTGAACCAAAAATCTTTCCTTTTTCCTGAGGTGTGTTATCCATTTTTATGATAAATAGCCTACAACACTTTCTATCTGTGAATTTGTTCCCCCATTTTTGTTGCATTGTTTAAAAAGCTATCAGTAATGATTCTCTCTAATATAGAGAGGTTTTTTTTTCAATTATTACATTTATTTTAACAATTATATTAAAGGTTTTTAGCTTGCCCTTCAATTTATTGTCCTTTAGTACACACAAGTATAGTACTTTGGACTACTTTCCCTTCTACTGAAATTTGGAAAATTAAATGATGTTATATTATAAAGCAGTCATCACTTCTTAGGAGGGATAACAAATTTGATGTGGTCAACCTCAATACGTCCACTTTGTTGAGGAAAATATGAAAATATGAAAAAAGTTAGTGGAAAAAATCGTATTTTTAAAAACCAAACAGTTCTTTATTTGAGAAATCTTTTATGTTAGCTTATTTTTGCTCAGACGCATTGCCTGATTTTAAGTCAGAATGTCCACTCTGTAGGTACACTTTAAATATTGAAATACATAAAGACTGATATTATACAGGTATCATATCCTTACTAATAGTGATATTTAACACATTTTAAGGCTTAATATCAAGAAGTGTGCAGTAAAGTACTCCAAATAAAGTTGAATTATAATATTTACATCAGTAAGTCTCAAGAGTAATTTCAATAAATATGTTAATGGATTTCTAGTATGCTTCGTATGAAATAAATGTATTTTAAATACATTTTGCTATAGGTTTTTTTTCACTATAGGGCTCACGGTGCTTTTACTAATGTTAACAAATAAAACATTTGATTGTAATAATGTATTAGTAAATGTTGAAATTAACATTAACTGTTGGTGTTGATGTCGGTGTTGGTTGAAGAGATTCCCCCTTCATGTGTAAAGCGCTTTGAGTACCTGAAAGCTATATAAATGTACCAAATTATTATTATTAACATTAACAAAGATTAATAAATGCCGTAGAAGTGCAGTTCATTATTAGTTTGTGTTAACTAATGTCAACTAATGAAACCTTATTGTAAAGTGTTACCAATAATTTATTAACTGATATTCTTTTAGGAACACAAGTTGTTTAAGATAATCTACACAATGATACACATAATCTATTTAAGATTAGAATCATAACTATTTTAAACTGTTGTTCATTTGTCCCTAACAAGGGGACAAATTTCTTTTAAATTGGCACTCAAAGTTCATCAAATCAAAGTTTGATTTTCTAAACGTTATGATGTCCAAAAGGCACAGAAAACCAGGAATATCCCATATATAGCTTCAATTTGTAATTGTATACTCAGTATTATTATATTTATTTTTTTCATTTAAAAAATCTGAAAATATGAAGAAATAAGCTAAACTTGATGTTCAGTCACATGAGATAATGAAAATATTAAAATATAAGAGTTCTAATGAAGAAAAATCTGTTTCTATTTAGTGTGGGTCACCCCCTCAAGGGTGCTGCCATATTGACATAACATGTCTTGTCATATGGAATTACTACTAGAACTACTTCCATAGATATCTATAACCTACATATATACTGCATTAGCAGCTATTTCTATGGGCTGCCTGCTATGCACAAGTTGTCTGCCATATTGGATACGCAGATTCATACACACATACATAGATTAAGAATACAGCTGCAGGGAGAGAGCTCATAGTCCAAGGCAATGAATGAGCCAGCCTGGTAAAAAACACAAGCCACCAACAGCGCACAAAAAAACAATCATTATTTAGTCCAACTACATTCAGTATGCGTATATTATTAGAAAAGCATGGATGAAAAGGAAGAAAACTAAACATGAACAAACAGCTTCACTGCGAAGTGGCAGCCGTTAATAAACAAACTAAGCGTCAGTGTAAAATCCAAGATTATCGATGCTATTGGGACATTCACGGATAGCTAAACGAAAAGAAAAACTTACAGAGACCTCTTTTAAATTGATAGAAATTCAATTCTTTCTTTCTTTCTTAGTTGTGCCACCATTTGTAGTGCTAATATCTGGAAAGGAATAAGAGAATAATATAAGAGGAAAAGAATAAAATATGAGCCATCAGTAAAATAAGTTCTTTGATCTTTTTTGTCGTGTGATGGCGTAATTTATGTTGTACAGCTAAATGTGAAAGTCTCTTTAAGTAATGTTATTAACCTTATTTTTATCACAATTATATATATCACAACTATTATGTAAACTCAGAAAATTCCTGAGGGAACCCATGGCAACAGGACCATGGTTGTCATCATGACTGAGCAGCTCTGTTGATTACTTTTATTATTTAATACAAAATTATTGTGTCTTACACAAACTGTTGCATGAAGCAAAGTAGGCATCAACTGCCTTAAAATTACCTTTACCTCCTTTACCCAGATTATTAACACTTTCCTTGCAAATTGCAAGTATTTCCTTTGGAATACGCTAATTTAGTTACAAAGTTTAATGATTGAAAGATCACTTAACGTACATTCAGATATTAGAAATGTTAGAAATTTAGTTAGAAATGTAATGAAATGTACATTTATGTTGATGTGTTAAATGCATGTAATAGCTTCGTGAGTCCAGCCCATGTGATATTATAGAGGTTTCACTCAAGTTGGTTTTGCTGTGTATCTTGGACAGCATCACTGTGTATTTGGTCTGTTTATGTACTAGGCCAATTCAACTGATGCCATTCTAAACATGTCAAGACTGTTTCTGTAGCCTAGCTTTTAGAATTTAATCGAGCTTGAACGAAAGGAAATAATTTGACCTTGCATTATCCAGTATTCAATGATTCATTGTTCATTCTGCAATTTAACTTCATAGCGTCATTTGTGTGTTTAAATGGTCCGCATTTTTTTTAATCAAGCCTTCATGTCAGTCAGTTCACGTAGGCAAGTTGTAATGAGCAAGGAACATTTAATGAAACAGCCACTTTCTGTTGCTCTCTCAGCTGGTGATCGAAAATTAAGGAAATATTTGCTTTGCTCTGCCCTTAAGTCAATATTGAGATGTACAGAGAACATTTCAGCTCCTTGACCCATTTTTGAGATTTTACAGGTGGAAGTAATTGAACTGCATATGCTTGTCTAGGCTTCATAGGCTTCAAAGCAGAGCAGTCTTTGCACATGCATGACAAACGTTTAATTTTAGGTGGTGTGTGCTTTTAGATCTAAAATTTCTCTTTAATCTTTATGTTCCATCTTCTTTTTTCTCTTTCTTGATCTTTATCCCCCCCCCCCCAAGTTCTCTCTGACCATCCTCTTAACAGCCTATCAGGTTCCTGCAAAAACAGGTGCTTTGAACTAGTGGAAGCAGAACCCCCAAACTGTCGCTGTGACAACCTGTGTAAAACATACGATACGTGTTGCTCAGACTTTGATGAGCACTGCCTGAAAACAGGTAAGCCCTATCTTTATTTGTTTTTCTGTTCAGTTACGAGATAGACAGTGGGGTCCAAAGTCTGAGGGCACTATCATACACCTGGCGCGACGCAAGTGTTTTTTGCTAGTTTCAGTCCGACGCAGTTATCATTTTCACGTCCTGCGCCATGTTGTTTAAATAGCAAATGCGTTTGCGCCCATTTGTGCGCCCATGGGCGTGCTGGTCTGAAAACGAGGTGTGTTCGGGCGCATTGTTGGCGCGTTGCTATTTTGAGACAACTGAAATAGACAGCGACATTGACCAACCAAAACCTGGTCTATAGTCAATGGGACAGTATTTTTTTTTTTGTTATTTAAACAGCGCGTTAGTAATATGCGCCTATAGGTCTAAACAGGTCTAAACAGATGGTCTGCTTGCGCGCTTTAACCTTGTGCATGAGCAGATCCGTTTCCTCGCTAGATAAGTGTTCGGTTTTTCCGCTTGCGAATTCCGCCATGTAAATAGCAAATCCGCAATGGCAGGAGCGCAACTGGCTTTTAAAGGGAATGGGAGATGAGACTCTGATTGGTTTATTGCACATTACGGCCAAAACACACCCATTAATCATTAAGAGAATAAGGACAACCCTTTTAGACCATTTTTCCTGTCGTTAAACTAGCAAAAGTGGATTCGGACACGTCCTAAGTGCACTTGCGCCGTGCGCTTTAGACCATGCGCTTAGAACGTTAAAATAGGGCCCTGAGGCTTTATGATGTGAAGGAAAATGTAAAAAATTTGCAATGTTAGGTCAATAATGAAATAAGCACATTTTTGACATTGACAACTCACTTGTACAAATGGTCACTTTTAATTGCATTTACATTTACATTCATGCATTTGGCAGACGCTTTTATCCAAAGCAACTTACATTGCATTTCAAGGTACACATTTACATACATATCAGTTCTTGCTTTCCATGGGAATTGAACCCATGACCTTGGCGTTGCAAGCACCAACGCTCTACTGTTTGAGCTACAGGAAAGCATCCATTGAAGCACACAATGCTATTTCTCAGATGATGCTGGATAACATAGATTCATCAGGTTTTGCACAAACTTTTGTCTACCAAATACTAAGAAGTTCTCAAATTCATGATTCTCAAATTAAAGTATTTTTTACTTTTGGACCCCTCTGTAATTTTTGTCTTTGTCTAAGGACAGGCTTACCTTAAATTGCTTGTGCCAGGCTACTGTAACAGTTTCCTTTAGTTTTGCATTATGCTGATTTAGTCTACGAGAGATGTTTCATTATTTTGTGCCTTCAGCGGGAGGGTTTGAGTGCAGTAAAGAGCGCTGTGGTGAAACTCGTAATGAGCAGCATGCCTGTCACTGCTCAGAGGACTGCATGGCCAAAGGAGACTGCTGCTCCAACTACAGGTCTCTCTGCAAAGGTGAGGGGCTTTCATGTATTTCATTTTAATGTAATTTGCAGAAAGTTCAGCAAACCTGGTTTAAGGTGGAGGAGACAGACCACTCTTAGAAAATATTTTAATTTATAAGTGCCTATCACGTATTGGCAAATACATTGCTGTACTGTTTGCTCTAAAACACCCATCATGTATATTTTAGTCAATTCCCATCAAGCTCTTAGGCACAGTAGGCCTACTTGCATAACTAGAAAGTAGGGAAACACTTTAGAATACTGTTCCTTCATTAATGAATAACTACACAGGAACAAAATGAGTAAATCATTATTAACACTCCAGTAACTATTAACTAACAAGAAACTCTAATTAACGAGTTAGTAAGTAACAGCGCTCAGTTGAATGTGGTAGTTCACTATTAGCTAATCAGTAACTACTGTTTTTCATACCTCACTGAAGACTACTATAGAACTACTATACTGGTTCATAATTAACATGAATAATGCATAAGGTATAATATAAGGTAATGGTAACCCACTAGTAATGACTCAAGTATTACTATATCCTTCTAAAGGAAATACTCCAAATCCATCGGAAGGAATTACTATTCAAAATCTAACAAAAATCTAAAAAGTTTACAATGATTTCAGTAATTACTAGAGAGTTATCAAGTTTTTCACTTTAGAATACTGATCTAAATAATTAGTAATTCCTTATGAAGGATTTTGTAATACTAGTCATTACTAGTGGGTTACCATTACCTTATATTATGCATTATGCATTATTCATATTAATTATTAACCTGTTAGGGTTAGGTACGAAAAAATAGTAGCTACTGATTAGCTAATAGTGAACTACCACATTCAACTGAGTGCTATTACTTACTTATAGTTTACCAGAATTTCTTGTTTGTTAATAGTAGTTACTGGAGTGTTAATAATGCATTACTTTTTTGTTTCTGTGTACACTGTAAAAAATATCTACTTGGTTCTACTTAAAATCATAAGTTAAGCAGCTGCCTCAAAATTTCAAGTAAAAACAAAATGGATTAATGAATTGTTTTAACTCATTATTTTGATTCTTGTTAAGCTGTGAATTGTCTTCTGCGAGTCAACATGACTATACAACTATTGTTGTTTCAACTTTGCTATGCAAGTTCAAAATAAAGTGAACTCATTAATGAGCATTCTGTTCACTTATCCCCATTAGTGGGTTCAACATAGTAATTTCAATTAAGTAATGTCTTTGAATTTGGGTATCAAGTTAACATGATCTAAAATAATGCCTTGTTTTAACTTAATTATAAAAACACACAAATTTGAGTACAAAACATTTTTTTTATTAAAACCAATGTTAAGCCAATACAAGCTATACATAAACATTTCAATCATGCAATCATCTCAAACTTGTAATCAATACTTTTTTAGTTACCAAACTTCAATTGGGTGTGGGTAACATGAAGCTAAGATAAATAGAAGCTCACCTTCTATATGCACTCTGCTTGTCATATCCCCATTAGGTCACCCAAAGATGTACTGAACACTATTCATATTCACCCAATAGAAAATACATTCCTTTAAAAGCATTAGCTTTTTTTCTTACACAACATTGAAATATTGAACAGGTTTTAAAATTTAAACATTTAAAAAACCTTTTAAAGGATTGGTTAACTTTAAAAAAAACTTTTGCTGATAATTTACTCACCCCCATGTCATCCAAGATGTCCATGTCTTTCTTTCTTCAGCCAAAAAGAAATTAATGTTTTTGATGAAAACATTTCCAGGATTTTTCTCCATATAATGGACTTCAATGGGCACCAAACGGTTCAAGGTCCAAATGACAGTTTCAGTGCAGCTTCAAAGGGCTTTAAACGATACCAGACGATGAATAAGGGTCTTATCTAGCGAAACGATCGGTCATTTAAAAAATAAATAAAAAAGTTTACGTTTTAAAAGCACAAATGCTCGCCTTGCTCTGTTCTGTGATGCGCGTTCGTGACGTTCGTTCGTGACCTTTTCAACGTTATTGCGATTCCCTGCGTATTACGTTACGTCATCAGAACGCGAATCACAGAACAGAGCAAGGCGAGCATTTGTGCTTATAAAACTTAAACTTTTGAATTTATTTTTGAAATGCCCTATCGTTTCGCAAGATAATACCCTTATTCATCGTCTGGTGTCGTTTTAAGCCCTTTAAAGCTGCACTGAAACTCTCATTTGGGCCTTGGAACGTTTGGTGCACATTGAAACACATTATATGGAGAAAAATCCTGGAATGTTTTCATCAAAAACCTTAATTTCTTTTCGACAGAAGAAAGAAAGACATGGACATCTTGGATCACATGGGGGTGAGTAAATTATCAGCAAAAGTTTTTTTAAAGTGAACTAATCCTTTAACATTAATCTCACAGATCCAGCTGACTTGTACCAAAAGCTGTCCTGAACCCCAAACACAAACAAACTAAAACTTCAGACTGCAGCTGGTTGTTTTCAAATATTTGAAACCTAAATACAGTATACTTAGACCCCATTATTTGAACAATATTCAGCCTTAAATGTATTCATTCCAACAAAAGCAAATGTATCAAGTCCAACAAAAAAAATCAGGGCTCCTCTCCTGTTTCCAAACCTATTCTCGGTTGGGGCATGGTTTACAAATTATACCTCAGGAGCTTGTTTCGGATGCCGTGGACTCTGGCAGAGGCTTGATCTGGTTTGATCTTCATCACTACCCTCTGAAGGAACTCAAAGGGATACTTCATGGCTCGTGGATACTCAAGGTTCACGCAGTAGATGATCCCCAAAAGCATGGCAAAGCTCGATGGCACATCCTTGAAGTTGTGAAGCACAACAGTCCCCTCAACCACAACAGCCACATTGAAGACCTCATGTGGAAAGGGATCCTGGTTGTCACCTTCATAGCCTATCAACAGGCCAAGTTGCATCCCCTCCATGGCTTCAGCAAGAGTCTCACCATGGGCCTTGAAAAGCAGAAAAAAATAGTGTGAATGTTTGGGTCAAGAATTACATGCTCTGCAAAGCTACTTAAGTCTCAGTAATCATAAACCTTTTCAGGCTAATAAAATAGTCTTCTTGGGCTTTCAGTTGTGAGTGTGCATGTTTGTAGGTGCAATGTTGGAAGGTTACTGCCAGGGTGAAAACTTGTGTCCTCTCAGATCTGGGGAAGTGTATGTTGCACTGGGTCCTCTCCCCATCACTATTCTACCGCTCCTTTCTCCTCCCCCAACATTGTTCTACCCCTCCCTCCTCCCATCACCACTATTCCACCCAACCCTCGTCCACCCCATCACTATTCTGCCCCTCACTCCTCCCTGCATCATCACTATTTTGCTGCCATCAACACCCATGAGTATCTAATCCAATCTCTGTGTTAAAGGGCGTGTATGTGTGTGTGTGTGTGCGTGCAAGTGTATATGTGGGTGGGTGGGTGGGTGTGTATATGTGGGTGGGTGGGTGGGTTTGTATATGGGCTGTTATGCATGACAGAAAAACGTCTTACGTCACACATCCTGATGATGTCTGATGGCTCTTCTCTTAGGTAGTGTGGCAGACCCAGCAGAGCAGCAGTCCTTCTCCTTTCGTTTGTGTCCTACAAGAAAAAAAAAAAGCAGTGTTGGGATTTTATTGTAAACATCTGGTGCCCAATTTTACAATTCTCAGCTTGTCTACTCACGTCTTTCTTCAGACAGTCCAAAATGGCTTTCAGTGCAGGCTTCTTTGCCGACTTTGTCGCAGCTTCGTACACTTCCAGCAGTCTTGGTGCCAGCTCATCAAGTCCGTCGAGGAACGACTCGAGAAGGTCTGTGCTTACGACTCTTTTGAACTCTGCCCGAACCTGAGGAGACAAAAAAGTTAAGAAATTAGAGAAAAAAAATTCAAAGCATAGAGTCACAATTTAGTAAGCTAAGGTTGTCTGTTGTCAAAGGCTTTCATCCACTCAGTAATATTAAACACAATCCTCTCACTTATCTGTATGGACATTCACGCCACCATTCAGAAAAAAAAAAAAAAACGTGAAATTTTGAGGCAGCTGCTTAACTTTTGATTCTGAACAGACCACAGTATAGTATCAGACATCTCTCTAGTACTTCCTTGAGGGAAGCTAATACATTGATATCCAGTCATTGGATTAAGTGATTAATCTTAGGCTGAGTGTTGCCTATTGTTATACCTGTCTCTCACAGAACATGGCCGGCCATCTAGCTATGACATCCCCAATGAGAGGTTGATGCCCTACGATCTCCTTTCTGCGCTTGGAGAACGTGGCAGACATCAGCTCATCTATCTGCTGGTGATCTGGTTCTTTTTTCAGCACTTCCACCTGAATTAGATTGCACAAGCACAAAGGACACATACTAAGACAAAATATTAGGCAACACAGACACAAAAGCAAAGTGTAGGTAGTTAGTATTATATAGGCAGGTGTGTATGCAGTATGCAGTATGATGTGCATGTGTGTGTATGATGTACCTCCATCATCCTCCGCTTTTCTTCCATGTCTTCATCACTCAGTCCTTCAGGGGGATCTGGACAGTAGTGGACCTCGCCCTTCTTTGACTTCTTCATACGTGGTCCCTTGGCTTCTTCTTTTCTTTTGTTGACCCTCACCTCTGGGCATCCAGCTGCACTTAACTTCTGTCGATAGTTTCCGAGCTTAAACTTCAGGCTGTGGAACCAGCCGTACCAACCCTTTCCACACCCTGGCTCTTTTAGACTGGGATGCTTCTCCACAAGCGCTTTGGCAACATTCTCATAGTGTTGCCTCTCAGGATAAGGACTAATCTTTGACATGCTGTCTGCAAGTGTGTCCAGGATATCAGTTTTCATACCTTTAGGAATCATCAGCACAGATCCATATTTTGCATATCTTCCATTTGCTTCTTGCAGCGTGAGTTCAACATCATGTGAGAACTCTGGAATCGGGAAGGGCTCAGGCCAGTGCTGGGAGTCAGATTCCCCACTACTGAGAGATGGAAGGCTGGCTGTATCCAATGTGGAATCCGAGCAAGCTGCGTCAGTTGTGAACAACACTTTCAATGTTGCTCTCTCCTCAGGAAGGTCTCGGATGTCGGTCAAATTGGTCAGCTGATCCTTGAACGCAGGGTCCTCAAATTGTAAAATAAATCCACCTCTCAGGCCAAGGTTTGCACGCAACACCTGGCACAGTGCATCAACACTAGGGGGGTGATTTCGATGGAAAGGTGCCTGATATCCATCTCGGAGAGGACAACTCGCAGCAGCATCGTGGATCACTTCGGCCTGAAATTGGAGAAGAAAAAATGTTTAAAAAATGTTGTAAAAATACAAACAAAAACAGTAATATTGTGAAATATTATTCAAATTTAAAACAGCTGTTTTCTATTTCAATATATTTTAAACTGTAATTTATTTCTGTGATCAAAGCTAAATTTTCAGCATCATTACTCCAGTCTTCAGTGTCACATGATCCTTCAGAAATCAGTATAAGGTGAGGATTTAATGCTCAAGAAATATTCTTTATTATTATCAAAGTTGAAAACAGTTGTGTACAATTTTTTTTTCAAAATTCTTTGATGAATAGAAAGTTCAAAAGAACAGCATTTAAAATGGAATATTTTCTTACATTATACATGTCTTTACTGTGACTTTTGATCAGTTTAACTCATCCTTGATGAATAAAAGTATTGACTTATTTTATTTCTTTCCCCCAAAAATAAAATAAAAATTATTACTGACCCCAAACTTTTGAACGTTAGTGTTTAATGTTACAAAAGCTTTAGATTTCAGATAAATGCTGTTCTTTTTAACTCTATTCATCAAAGAATTTTGAAGAAAAAAAATTGCACACAACTGTTTTCAACATTGATAATAATAATTAATGTTTCTTGAGCATCAAATCCTCATATTATACTGATTTCTGAAGGATCACGTAACACTGAAGACTGGAGTAACTGTTAATGATGCTGAAAATTTAGCTTTGATCACAGGAATAAATTACAGTTTAAAATATATTAAAATAGAAAACAGCTGTTTTAAATTGGAATAATATTTCACAATATGACTGTGTTTGTTTGTATTTTTAATTTAATCAAATAAATGCAGCCTTGGTGAGCAGGAGATACTTCTTTTAAAAACATGATACAACATCTGACTGACCCCAAACTTTTGAACGGTAACGTTAACGTTAGTGTATTTGGCCTTGACATACGCAATATCAGAAATGGCGTTTTCTACAACGTTTTACAAAGTTTACAATGAAAACTGGTATCGTCTCAGATAAAGCTTTATCAACCGTCTCTGACTGAACGAAAAGACTGCCAGCAAACGTGTTCGAACTAACGTTACGGTCGCTGAAATGTGCCTCGCTTAAATGACATCACAGTTGTTGCACATATCAAAAGCTAACTAACGTTAATCACGTTATTGGCTTCATCAACTCACATTATTAATATACAAAACATGAACACTTACCAATAGCGACCTTGTTCACGCCAATCCGATTCGTCTTGTCTGACAGGCACCCGGGCGATTGAAGTTTGATTGCTTGACTGTTGCTTGATGGCGCGTAAACTAGTTCGTCTCGTGGCTTCGTCGGTAGTCTCCCCCCCTCCCCCGCACATGCGCAAAGAGCTGTCCTCCACTCAATCTGCAACACGCCTAAGACTTGTACCCCACTCAATTTAAAATGGCAAGTTAATTCAGGCACCTGGAATGTGTGATTCATTGAAGTAACTTATGAACTTAAATTGGAAAATTGAAAACTCAAACAATTGAGTTGAAATTTCATAACACATTATTTTATGTCTGAGTGAATGACATATACAAGTTATCATAACTTTTTCAGCAGATCATTTTTTACAGTGTATGAATTCATTAATCTAAAGTGTTATCGAAAGTAGCTGCCAGGGCGTTATCAAGATTTGCTCCAATAATGATTTGATATTTGTCAAACCAACTACAGTTAAAAAAAGGTGGGGATGGGTGTATTTCAAGTGCAACTGTAAACAAGAGCACTGTATTGCCTGGACATTAGACGTGTTTGCATATCTATGACTGTCACCTGGTGCATCACTGACTGACTTCCTCTCTCTGTTAGGTGATGTTCCCTGGTTACAGGACGAGTGTGAAGAGATTAAAAACCATGAGTGTCCTTCCGGGTGAGAGACACAGTTGTGATTTCAGTGACAAACATCACACTCCCCATCCATCCTCCCTTTTATATTCAACACTAGGTCAACAAAACTCATATTTTCACAACTATGCTTTACATACTAGAAGAAAGGGAATTATTTATTTATTTAATGCTGTGAAGTGCTGAATGACGGCAAACACAGTGGGGTTAAGAGATGGATATTGGGTTTCTGTGTGACAACACCTATCCAGGAGGACTGCTGGGTGGATTGCATGACAATTAATGTTAATGCATGCACATTAAGTGTGAGATTTTGAGCCTAAACATATGCCTAAGGAAGGCTGTTATAAAAAGAACATTCAAATAAAAGACCACTTGTCCACTAGAAATAAGGACAAATTTTAGCAACAAATCCTAATTTAATTTTGTTTGTATTTGGTGTACTTATGCTTCTGCTTATCTAGGTTCGTTCGGCCCCCTGTCATCATGCTGTCTGTTGATGGCTTTCGTGCATCTTACATGAAAAGAGGAAGCACGGTGATCCCCAATATCGAGAAACTCAGTAAGAACTATGCCTTTTCATTAAAATCAACAAACTGAATTTAAATGAATATTGACTAAGCAGTCAATCAGTTCAAAATTATGAAATGTATTACATAAAATACAGATTAACTGATCAAATAAATCCCAATTAATTGTATATTAAAATTTAAGAAAGGTCTCCAAATGAAGATAATTATAAAGGTAATATATTGCTTTTTCTTTTCTTTTCTTTTTACATCTTTGAACTTTAAGCACCACACGATTTAATCCGAATTGGTTCTGATTCATATCAGATTCTAAGTCACATTACAATTCAAAAATGACCCAATGATACGTCTATTTTTTTTTTCTTAACTGACGTGAGCTGCCACTCACTGGTGATGTAGCGTGTAGTAATAAACAGCTATGCATCAGTTTGTCATTTTAAGGGTAAAACACTGTAAAAATGCTAAAAAACTGTTAATTGGTTAATGGCAAGTTCCCTTACTATATGGTGAAATTTTTTTATAGATTTTAGGGGACATTTTACGTAATAAAATATTGTTAAATGTACAGATTTTGTAAGTAATCTTATTATCTACAGTGAAAAAATTTAAACTGACATTCCCACAATTCCATATGTGACACTACATATTATGCTATTTTGTTTAAATTATTGTTTCTCGTAATTTTTTGTACTATTTCCATACATTAGGGTTTTTATGGTACATCTTATGTTGTGTAAATAGTGTAATTACTGGTAACACTTTATAATAAATATACTATAATAAAGTACTTATAAATCATTAACAAACTATTAGTTTATAGTTAATTCATAGTTAATATATTGTTAATATATTAATAGGCTGTATACAAATAGTAAGTTATTCATTCTTTGTCACTGTAATTAACACAATGAACTATGAGTTAATTATAAACTAATAGTTTGCAAATTATTTTTAAGCACTTTATTACCGTATACTTATTATAAAGTGTTACCAATAATGTTTATTGCATTATTTATACTTGCTCTGCTGCAACAGCAGCAATAATCAATAACAGGCTAAAACTATTTTGAATGTTGCCATGATTGAAATTAGTATATACCTTAATTCATGTATTATTACGGTGGTTAACAGTATAATCTACAGGTTAAAAAAGAAGAAGATTGTATTGCTGTAGATGGAATATTAACCATTATAAGTTATTATTAACATTATTATTTACATCACTAAAATATACATAATGAAATACTATATAATAATAATAATAATAATAACCTTTATTTTCTATAGCGCCTTTAAATGTACATTTCAAAGCGCTGTACAAAAACAATAAAAATAGCAAAGATACAACACACAAAAGAGACATAATACACAGTAAAATAAACATAAAAAACAACAAGCATAAAAGACAATAAATCAATTAAGACAATAAATCAATTAAAAGCTAACCTAAAAAAATGAGTTTTAAGCTGAGATTTAAAGATTCCAAAAGATTTGGCTTGCCTGATCTCAATCGGTAGAGAGTTCCAAAGTTTTGGAGCTAATGAAGAAAAAGCCATATCTCCCATTAATCTCAAATGGGTTGAGGGAACAGTTAAAAGACCAGTATCTGAAGAACGAAGATCACGTTTTGGAGTATATGGAGTTAAAAGCTCTGTCAAATATTGAGGTGCCAAACCATGCAGTGCCTTGTAAGTAAGCATCAAAATCTTGAAATCCACCCTAAACCTAATGGAAAGCCAGTGCAAAGACTCCAAAACGGGAGTAATATGGTCTCGTATGTTAGTTCTTGTAAGGATTCTGGCAGCCGAATTTTGTAAAACCTGCATTCTGTTTAAGGTTACTTTTGACACGCCAGCTACCAAGGCATTACAGTAATCAATACGCGAAAACACAAAAGTGTTTATCAATCTCTCTGCAACAGTAAACGACAGCATTGGACGCAATCTGGCAATATTTCTAAGATGGAAAAATTAGATTTTAACAGTATTCAAAACATGTGGCTCAAACGTTAAATTGGCATCAAAAATGACTCCTAAATTCCTCAATTTAGTTTGAAACTCCACAGTAGAGCCATCAAGAGCTAGAGTGACCGGCTCTACTTTGCGTAGTTGGTGGGGTGAACCAACAAGCATAATCTCAGTCTTTTCACTGTTAAGACAAAGAAAATTATCAGTCATCCATTCCTTCATCTTAGAAATACACTCAGAAAGAAAATTAACAGGCACAATTTCATTAGGTCTAAAATGAATGTAGATCTGGGTATCATCTCCATAGAAATGAAAATTTAGACCAAGAGATCTCAAAAGCTGACCAAGAGGATAAACATAAATATTAAAAAGAAGAGGGCTCAAAATTGACCCCTGAGGGACGCCAGACTGCACAACATTGACCTCAGATCTAAATCCACCCATGGCAACGAACTGCTTCCGATCAAAGAGGTAGGACTTAAACCAATTAAGAACAGTATTTGAAACCCCAAAAATAGTTTCAAGACGAGTAATTAAAATTGAGTGATCAACAGTGTCAAAAGCGGCACTGAGATCAAGTAGGATCAAAACTGAAAGACAGCCAGAATCTGAAGCAATTAACAGGTCATTGGTGACCCTAACCAGAGCTGTTTCTGTACTATGCAATTTACGAAAGCCTGATTGCAGAGGCTCAAAGAGATTATTCTCAGTTAAGTGAGAAATCAACTGAGAAGCAACCACTCGTTCCAAGAGTTTAGCAAAAAAAGGGAGATTAGATATGGGACGAAAATTAGTGAAGTTCTCACAGTCAATATTTGACTTTTTAGGTACCGGGGTAATTGCAGCAGTTTTAAAAGTTTCCGGCACAACCCCAGTACACAGAGAGTCGTTTATAATACTCAGAACAAAGGGGCACAAGGAAGCAAAACATGATTTAAACAGACCAAACGGTATGGGATCTAGCAAATAAGTAGCTGCTTTCATTTTTGAAACCTCTGCTAAAAGAGAATATGAGTCAATTGTACAGAATTTAGACAACTTAGTACCAGAATAAAAAGGAATAGCTGGAGAAGACAGGAGAGTAGAAGTGCAAAAACCTCTACAAACATTTTTGACTTTGGTGACAAAAGAATCCAGAAACTTATTACAGAGATGATCAGAAGCAGTAACATAAGAGTGATTCAACAATTTGTTAATTGAGTTAAAAAGTTGTCTAGAATTACCCTGATTATCATCAGTCATTTTAGAGAAATGGTCAGATCTGGCTGAAACAATTCCAGCCTTATATTCTTGTAAGCAGTCTTTCCATATTTGATAATGAACAGTCAGGCCTGAAAGTAGGGTTGCCAACCGTTCCGTATAATACGGAATCGTTCCGTATTTGACACATAAAAGGCTTGTTCCGTATTGAACTGATACGGAACGCACTTTGTTCCGTATTTTTGAGAATCAATTCAGTGCAAATCCATGACAGACGCATAGCTTCTAATATATATGTCAGACAGACTATGATGAATGAACGAAGACCTGCTGCTATAATGGCAAATTCGGGGACTTGGCGCCACCTTGACGGGCTCTGACGTGTAATGACGTAGAGTTGGCTCATTGGTCGAACGTCAGAGGCGCCCGCGCCACTGGATGTGCAGTTGCCGCAGCGCAGCCTGAGCGAGCCAGACGCTCAATGTGCAAGCTGTGCAGCTGCAAATGCATTTTACAGGCTTCAGTAAATCGAGTAAAATGTGTTTCCGAAGACATTTGTAGGCTATGATAAGAAAAACTACTAAAAATTAAAAAAAAAAATGTTTGCACCGGAAAGAACATTCTAGAAGTCTAATTCTATTGAATAAGTTCCCACAAGGCTACAGAAAACTGTTGTGTTTATTTTTCTTCAAAGGCAGTCTAAGCCGATGAGTTTCGAATGTTATATGTTGTATTTGTTTAAGTTAAAAATAAAACGTATTATAATCTAAACAAATACATGGTTCATTTTTGGGAAAATGATCATGATAGCCTTTATATATCTGTGTGGCTAAGTCTTGTATATTGATTAAGCCTACTTTGCTATTCTATAAATATATAGGCCTAATAAGTTGCATTATAATATGATATAAAATGTATGAATTTCAGGGGGCATGTCACTACCACATACCCCCCCCCCCCCCCCCCCCGTTCCTTATTTCCATTTCAGAAAGTTGGCAACCCTACCTGAAAGACGCCACATGCGCTCCATTCTACGGCAAAATGTTTTCATCATACGCAAATCCTCATTATACCATGGAGCAGGACGTACGAATGAAACCGAGTGTGACTTTTGAGGAGCAAATAAATCCAGGCCAGATAGGAGAACCGAATTTAACATAGAAACCCTTTTCTCCAGAGGATCAGATGGAGTAAAACAACTTAATGAAGAGTCAATAAAAACAGAGAAATCAGAAGGATCAACTGATCTCCAATTCCGATATGTCAAAATACGAGAAGAGGCAGTGTTAGCAATGGGAATATGCATATCAAAAAAATTTGCTAGATGATCCGACAATCCTAAATCAATAGTAGACAACCCAGACACAAAAGACCCATTTGATATCACTAAATCTAAAATATGTCCTTTGTTATGTGTAGTACAGTCAACAAATTGATTTAAACCAAAGCACTCCAGCAAGGACGAGAAATCCTTTGTTAATGCAGAGTCTTTTTTGTCCATCTGGATGTTAAAATCCCCCAAAAAAAGAGATCTCTCAAATTTAAGGCACAGATACGACAACAGTTCTGCAAACTCAGATAGAAAGTCTTTGTTTGCTTTAGGAGGGCGGTAGACTGTAGTTATGGCAATTGAATGACACTCGGAAACAGTTAAAACAAAACATTCGAATGAAGAGAACAGAGGAACAGCAACAGGTCTTAAATTGAATTTCTGATTGTACAGAACAATAATGCCACCACCTTTGCCAGTGGCTCGCGGGAGATCTAACAACCCGTAGCCAGCTGGAGTAAGTTCAGTAAAAAGAAGACCGTCCGAATGTTTGTGCCATGTTTCGACTATACTTAAAAAGTCAAGTTTTTCTTCCAGAATGATGTCAGATAAAGCCACCGCTTTATTGTTGACAGAGCGAGCATTAAAACACACAGACTTCAACAGGCACGGGGACTCCGAAACCTCCTGTGAATGCTCTTTGTATGTTAGCACGTTCAAGTTGTTATGGTTAATCCCAACAGGTTTACATACCGGTTTTCGGGGTTTACGAAGAAATGCAGGGCAGGGAATAGCTATATGCAGTTTTTTACTGTAAATTCAGTTCCATAAAATCTTAAATGTTTTTCCAATGTTTTTTTTTTTTTAAGTGCTAGCAACAGCTGCCTTTTTACTGTACATTTTACAGGTTTATTTTTACAGTGTGGGAACCTGAAAAGAAAATATTCCAAACACTGTTTTTGCTCAATATGACATGGGTTATTGTGGGAAGGGGTTTTCTTTTCCCCAGCACTGGTGTACTATATAACAGGCCTTGACTTGAGGGAACTAAACATATGGTTAGAGTATTAGAATCACAAAAGATCAGCTTCTTCAGGTAAGGTTTAGGGGTAGACGTTTATAAAGTTGATCGAGCACTGGGAAAGTGAGTCCTGGCCTTTTAAAAAGTTTACTTAATGTGTGTTAACTGACCTTTGAACTGGAGAACATAGGACCCTGGGAACATAAGACACCTTTTCATGTGTTTAATATGTACCATATACTGTAAATATGGGGAACATAGGACCCTGGGATATGCTCACAAATCTTGTGCTATGAAACCACATAAATTGCCCTATAGTAATTTTTTGCTTTACAACTTTCTAAACTCTGTCAAGTCAGGTCAAATTTATTTGTATAGCGCTTTTCACAATATACTGTATTGTTTCAAAGCAGATTTACATCAAATAATTATGTTAACGTTTAATATATATATATATATATATATATATATACAGTGTATATATATATATACTGTATATATATATATATATATATATATATATATATATATATATATATGTATAAATGCGGATAAAGTTGGATATAGTCAAGTCATCTTTATTTATATAGTGCTTTATACACCCTAGTGAAAAATATTATTTTATGCTATGTATACTTCAAATACATTTACATATTTATGTACTTAATATAAATACCTTGCAATTGTACTTTTAGTTTACTAAATTGGTACACTTAAAGTCAAAATTGGAACGAATCTTGTACTTAATGCGCTTAGGTTATCCGGAAATAGTGCTGAGGTCCAACTAAAGATATACTTAAGTATACTTGATTGAGCTAAAGTGGATCTATTGCAAGTATACTTTAGGTACACTTTAAATATCTTGCATTTAAAGAGTGATATTAGAGATCATACTATCCTTACTAATACGGATATTAAAACACATTTTAGGCTTAATATTAAGAAATGTGTGATAAAGAAGTACTCTAAATAAAGTTTAATTATAATATTTATATCATATATAAGTCTCAAGTGATATGTCAGTAAATATGTTAATAGATTTGTAGTATACTTAGTATGAAATAAATGTATTTTAAATACAGGTATAGGTATATTTTTTCACTAGGGCAATACAGATTGTTTCAAAGCAGCTTTACAGTGATAACAGGAAAATGATTCAATGATGCAAACAGAGTTCATTTAATATATAAAGCAGTTCTGCAGAAAAAAAAGTGATATCATTGTCCAGCTCATGGTCCAGCTAAATTCAGTTCTCATCCAATAGTGTCAGTATACTTATACATCCAACTTTATAGCTGCTCGATAATGTGGTTTACATTTGACTACGATATAAAAGAATCACATTGTATATTTACTATTTGTTATATAGTATATATTGCTTTATGTGAGTGTACTGTTTGTATGCAGGTAAGCTTTGTTGTACTATATATCCAACTTAATATATATATACAGTTTATAATTTTTCTTTTCTTTTTCTTTTTCCTTGTGGAATATACAATTTGACTCTGTCTTTAGCAAACACAAAAGTGCCATCACGCAGCAGGGGTTTAAAATTAAACCCAAGAATCGATTCTGAATTTGTGTGGTTTGATTCAGAGAAAACTTTGCCGACTTTTCCTCCACTTATCACTGGCCTGCAGCCTACAGCAATCCATTTAGCAGTTGAGCTTTTCTGAAGTAAAAACAGGCAAGACAATATACAAAGTAAACAGTCAACCTTGGACACATTCTTGTTCACAGAACATGTTCATGTATTCCATCTGTGCTAATAGACCTTAGGCAGGGTAACACCATATTTAATTTCTGAAAATATGCTTATCTCAAGAGATAGAAGTATAGTTGGTTCAATAGATTGTATACTGTTGTTTAACTACATGGCAATTGTTCAGCTGATGAAACATCTTTCCAAAACTTTCAGCAGACACATACTCTAAAAAACAGTTGTGAAAGTTGTGAATTCTGACAATTACATTTGAACTAGGATCTTCATGTCATTGTAAAGGCTGTCAGTCTATCCCTCACAATCTCAAAATTTCAAGGGAAGTATATATATAATTTATTGTACTAAATTAATGCCTTTGATTAACAGTCCTAAAAATGACTTGTCATTTCTCTTGTAGGATCATGTGGAACCCATGCACCATACATGAGACCAATGTACCCAACCAAAACCTACCCGAATTTGTATACAATTGCAACGGTATGTATTAATTTTGTACAATCTGCAAAAAAATGCAATATTTATGGTACTTTTTTAATGATAGGATTCAAATTCTACAAGGGGAATGTAAACTTACAACTCTATATTATAATATTATTTCTGTCTTTTTCTTGCAGGATTAACAATTATGTGCTTTTGAAACCTAAATGTCCCCAAACCATGGGCCAAAGTCAGTGTGTGTCTGAATTATATCTGAATATAACAAAAAGGGGAAATGAAACTTGACAGATATCTAAATATATAAACTCATGACTTTGAATAACAAGGTGAAGTAATCAAGAAATCAGGATTTCCTTTTACCTATAGTAACAGAAGGGTTTGCTGAATTATACATATGAAGAACCAATCATATTGTAGAAAAATTATGTAATGAATCATGTCACCTTTGCCATGCTCCTATTCTATAAAAACTGTTGTATTCTTTTTGCTGGTGGGATTCTCTCTGAAATTGGTCTGCGGTCCTCCGGCCGTGATTAAAGCACACTCGAAGGCATTGTCTGGAGTCTGTTTGACTATTGCTGGGCAGCAGGCAAGACACTAGAGATTCTCAAGTGATAGTGTTTAGTGGAGCAGGTTAGTGGAACAATAAAGACCTTATTCCCAAGTAATAGTGTTCAAAAAAGTTGAGACATCGACCGACTCGAAACCAGTTGTCGACTGTAGACTCAGTGCTAAAGTATTAATATTATTAAGTGTCGACTGTAGCGTTGACGCCCCAGGTAAACTTAAGTCAGGTGCATAGGGGAAAATCTACCACACATCTTAAAGTTTGACATTTTTTCTTTTTTTCTTTTTTTCTTTGCTTTAGGGGCTTTATCCTGAGTCACATGGAATTGTGGGTAACTCCATGCATGACCCTGGCTTTGATGCTAACTTTAACTTCCGTGGGAAAGAAAAGCTCAACCATCGATGGTGGGGAGGACAACCTGTGAGTTGCCATTCCATTCCTTTTTTTTTTTTAAAGGGATAGTTCATCCAAAAATGAAGTTTTGTCATCATTTACTCACATTGTTCCATAAGAACCATAAAAATAATCTATAGAATTTGTGCACTATATTCCAATTCTTTTAGAGCTATATGAAAGCTTTGTGTGACAAAAACAGGCCGAAATTTAAAGTTTTTCTTTACAAAGTGAGCTCCCCAACTACTGGCCTGGCACGTATAATACAGCGTTTTTAGTTGTTTTCTTGGATCTGTGTGAACGGGGATCGTTTTGACAACGTTGTCACCTGTAAAAATATATATAAATAATTGTGGGGGGTTTTTTGCGAGCAACGTACAATATGATTTTCACATATTTAAGTATATTATATTAGATATTTTACCAGAGTCTGATTTGTCTTGGGGAGCTCTTAGAAGTGTGAAATTAATAGGCATATATATTTCCATGACAGATAACTCTATCCAGGGATAATAGACCCTCCTGGCTATGACACACATGACAACCAGTGCTGTTTGGTATCTTCAACCTTAAATCTGGCTTCACATAATATTTGAATTTGAATATAGGCTACTTAAACTTTAACCATCAAAGGTCAATCCAGTCATGTACATACCTCACCGGCACAGTTTTATGAAACTGCAAGCAGTGGAATCATAAAGCATAATGTCAGTGAGCTTTTTAGATCTGTGATCATGTGTAAGCTACATGAGAAGAAGGGAGACATCTCCAACACACATGTCGGCTATTCCAACAGCTGGAATCAATTCTTAGTTTTCACTGAACTTTATTTCTTCTGGCTGTTTCTAGACCCCACTGACTGAGCTGTGACGGTATAAATGAGGCCATCATAAATGGAACTTACACAGTCTCGTCACTGCAGTTTGAAAAGTGCTGCCAAACACTTGTGAAAATTACCCAACATATAGAACAGTTGTCTCTCAATTGTGAATTGTGATCCCTACACTTTTTTTTTTGTTTATAAAATCAGGGATCTATCAGGTTGTCTGATGTGTGAAATGAGAAGACAGATTGTTCTTCTTAGAAACATGAAAGGAAAACTCTTTTTCCACAGAAAGTACAACATATGTTTTCTATGATAACACATTTTCTTCCATTTCTAGATCTGGATAACAGCAGTGAAACAGGGAGTAAAGGCTGGTACATTTTTCTGGCCAGTGTAAGTCAACATGATCCAAGCTCAAATGCAAACCATGTTTATTTTATGTCTTTATTCTGTAACATGGCTAATTAAATAACTCATTCCATACTGTTTATGTTACGGACATGAGTGATACCGCAAATCATGTGACTTTTTGAGGAGAGGTGTCACAATTTTAGCCTGGGGGACAGCAGAAAGAAATTCTATACACTTACAATGAACACGATATTTATCATACCTAGGTACCATAATGTCATAGAGACTTAGGTCCTAGACCTAGGTGGGCATGTTGTGGGCCAATAAAACAAACATCAAACATCACCCTAGAAACCACAAAGCAATGGCATGTAGAGTTTTGCACAGGCAAGCACCACTCACATTTTCTTAAAAGGACATGAAAATTACAACTGAACTGCACAAGTGAGATTTCATATGACATGAATGTTTGTGTTCTATGTGCTCTCTGGCAAGTCTTAGGCTTTCCTAGGACTGTAACACAAAGGTCTCCTCATCTGCACTCACTGAGAGCTTTCAGACTGTATTTTTTTTCACTCAGGCATAGAAAGAGGCAGCTTGAACTGTTTTGCTAGCAATTTGTGAGAAAAGGTCCTATATTCTGAAATCAAGGCCCTGCATACTTTAGATCAACTGCATACTGAAATAAGCAAATTGGAATGGCAAAGTGCTTTTCAGAGCAACTTCCTTTGGCCTCAAAGCTGGAGGAAATTAAATCGCCTATTCTTATCTAAGCCAGTAGGGTTAGGGAGCCTTAGCTGAGTGCATACATTGACCTAATGTTGATACAACTGGACAGAAGGTCAGGATGAATGGAGGTGGTAGTGAGGAAAGGGTTTCCTGTAGAGATTGATTGAAACAATCTTTCTTGCTCCCTTGACCCCTGATATCCTACATAAACACTATGTGATGTCCAGGCCTCAAACTCAGATACAAAGGTTTGCCAAATTAACTGCCCAGCTGACAGCTCTTTGGGAAAAATTCAGCTATATATGCTTTAAATTTGCCTGAATATGGTGAATAAAAAAAAAAAAAAAATTAACTGTGTTTTTATTGCAGTTTTCTTATCAACAAATACAAAAAAACAATACAAAAAAAACAATACAAAAAACAAACAAATAAAGACAAATAAACTTAAAATAAATACACAAATCCTTAACAGCACTTCAGAGAATGCACCACATACCAGTATATTATCTGCATTGTTCAAACATTAACATATATTAAGTCTATTTATTTCAAGCAAATTTTCAATTAATGCCCACTTCTGATGAAAAATGTCCGATTTGAGCTGCAAATCTGCAGTCATCTTCTCAAGTCATCTGTTTCAGTCTATGTGTCCATTCTGGGTGACTAAAGAATTTTAAAGGGCCATTTTTGTGCATGTTCTGTATTTACGTAGTATTTATGTGTATGCACCAATTCTGATGTGTGGTATATTAACAGTGTCATTCCATTGGAAAGGAGAGTTCTGACTATGTTGCAATGGCTTCACCTTCCTGATGCAGAGAGGTCAGTGTGTATTATTTATATATTTATAATACATATATATAATAATATTTATTATTATATATTTGGTTGAGCATTTCATTTAAAATGTTCTTAATCTCCTCAAAACTCAAAAAAAAAAAAAAAAAAATACTCCACTGAGTTCAATACTCTGTATTTTATAGTGAATGGGACATTGAGAAATTTCTCTTTGGGTTCACTATGTGGTTATCTTAACAAAGACATTAGTTTGTAGTTACTTTAATGTTAGACTTTGCCTTATAGTAACTGTGGCCTTATACAGTAGATAGTACTATTTACTAGTAGTAGATACTTTTTGTTTTTTTGTATTTTTGAGGGAGGTTTTTTGGTTAAAGGTAACATGCGTCTGTGTTTTTGCAGGCCATATGTTTATGCAATGCATTCTGAACAGCTGGATTCCTATGGCCACAAACTAGGACCCCACAGTACCGAGGTAAGCAGACTGTACAGGAATCATATAGTTCATGAGATCAGTTGGCTGTTCTTGTCTCTCACACGGCTTCAGTCCCACACATTACTCATCTAAACATATATGGTCATGTTGCAAATGTAGCAGTAATGAAAACAAACTTCTCAGCCCAAATACAGACTCACTGTAAACACTGCTTACATTCACTAACCATAGTGTGTCAATTCAAACTTGCCTCAAGTAAATTTGAAGTCTATTGATGTTTCACCTTACAAATGTTGTTTCATTCTACAGCTTGACAGTGCACTGAGGGAGATTGATAAGGTGATTGGACAGCTGATGAATGGCCTGAAACAGATGAAACTGCACCGTTGTGTCAATATCATCTTGGTTGGAGACCATGGTACTACATTTAGAAGTCCTGGTTCTAGGGTTTCTAGGGATGATGCCCTTTTTTTTGCAAATCGATTATAAAATTATAAGTCTTTTCTTCTTCAGGCATGGAGGAAGCTCATTGTGACCGCACAGAGTTCCTAAGCTCTTACATGTCCAACACAGATGACATCATCCTAATTCCTGGCTCTCTGGGAAGGATTAGAGCCCGAAATCCAAACAACTCTAAATGTTAGTTATTAAAAAGCAGAAGGAGAATTTAAGCCTGTCCTGGTCTAGTTGCATTAGAAATCACAATATATATATATATATATATATATATATATTTTTTTTTTTTAATATATATCCTTAGTGTCCGAACATATTAGGTACAATCAGATCAAAAGAGAGAACAGTCTAAGAGTGAAAAATATTGTTTTCCTTTTTTACACACTTTGTTAAATTTTTAAATTTGTGTTGTTTTTATTTTAAGTCAACATGTAACCAAAATTGACTTCAATGTTTTTTCCCTAATTCTTTCTCACAATTTATCAGCACATTAGGCCTTAAAATGTGTTTCCCTAATTTGTGTAATAGCTTACTGTGCATAAATGACTTTCTCTTTTTGGCTGATGTCACCTAGGCTGTGTGGGCTATTGGTTGGTGTTAATGAAATCACATTACAAGAGAAAATTGGGTTGAGAGCATGTAACTTAGTGAGGAAACTAGAATAGACTATAATGCACTATTTCTAGGAATTATATTGTTTTAAAAGCATCTGGCATCAAAACAATTAAATTGTTCTCTTTTTTCTCTAGACGATGCAAAAGCAGTTGTAGCAAACCTTACAGTGAGTGACATTCTTTAAAATTCTTAATAATGATATACTTAGGCCTACTGTAACTTTACATCATATTAATATTTTACTAAGCTTTAAAGTGGGCCCAAAATGTGACACTTTTTTTGTGGTAGTCAAAAATAGTAAGACTTGTCCATAGTTAATGTAATGATCTATCCTGTGGTTATTTTCCTACCACATCTCTGTGACCTTGAGGGGAACTTACTTAGGGCTAAAACTCTTTGTAAAAATGGCTCTGAAAAGTGAAGTTAGTTCTGAGTAAATCCAGCATTATTTGTGTGACTTTAGTCTCCAGTAGTCTCTAAATACTTTTTGGGACCACTGTATATTGATTATTTTAGTGGTTTAATTAAAAATGTATTTTGAATGTTTCAGTACAAAATGCACTGTTCTACTTCACCAAACATGAAACTTGGTTCTCCTACAGTGTAAAAAGCCAGACCAGCACTTCAAACCATACTTGAAGCAGCACCTTCCCAAACGTTTGCACTATGCCAACAACCACAGAATTGAGGAGATTCACTTGATGGTTGAGAGGAAATGGCACATAGCACGGTAAATAATCTAAGCCTTCTTTGTTAAAATAAGTTTGTGAATGTTTCTTAAAAGATGCTCAAACCTACAAAAAAAATAAAAAATCTTAAGGAGTACTTTGTCTTATTTTCCAATAAAAATATCCAATCATCTATAAAACTAGATACATTTACTCGAGGGGCAAAATTATGTTTGATAAAAATTTATAAATATACTAATGTTCATTTTTATTCATGTTAGTTCATAACAAATTCAATAATATCAATTTACACAACTTGAAATGGTAAAAGCTTATGTAGAAATAACCTGGATCGATAAATACTATTGTTCATTGTTAGTTCATGATGCCTAATGCATTAACCAATTGAGCCTTATTGTAAAGTGTTACTTTATTGTAAAGTGTTAGCATTTTGGCTTATTTTAAACATTAACCTCTCTAAATGTTCTTAGATTTATACTATAAAATAGGCTTAATTCAAGATATATGCTCTGAAAACAAGTATTAATATCTTTCAATTTTGACTGTCATGTCGATACAGATATTTCACAACTGGAAAACAAGACAAAAATACCGATAAAGGATTTTTTTTTTTTTTTGCAGTGTATTATGCTGCTCAGTTGAAGTACCTTTTTAGTGTTTACCTTTTCTTCAGATGCTTAAAACCACACTGTATTCCCTAGTATGCTCATTTCCAACTGAAATGGAAAGCTGTAATCTCCAAAAAAGAAAATCAATGAGGTCACTGAAATTAGCCATTGGTTTGCAACACATCCACCATAGATGAGGATGCAGAAAAAGAGAGGCAGGTCCAGAGACGGTTCCTCACAGCCGGGTTGGGACACCCTCCTTTGTTTGCTTTGGCTGACACTAGATACCTAATGAAAGAAAGCTTTCAGGCATACTGGTAGAGATATAGTCCTGTCTAATCGGTGGCACCAGACTCATGAAGTGAACTACTTCATAGTTAAAGTAGTCTCACCTGGCCTGTAGGTCCTTGCATGAAGCAGACAGTTAAATCAACTACTCAGGTTTTATGAAATGAAATAGAATATTTATGAGCAGGTCTCTTGTTATTTGAAGATGCTGAATGCTTTTGGTACTAAGACGTATTGCTGGAATCTCTGGATTTAATGTAGTGACTGCATTCCACTGATTTAAAATGGACACTGGACAGTTTACAGCACAGTGATGACTGAGGTTAAGTGTGCTTCATTCGAGCCATTTGGCTCTGGGACACAGCTTCACTCAGCATGTTCAGTGACTTCTAAATACTGATTTATGCTAGGGAATTTAAACACTGGACTTTTATGTTCAGTCTTTAAGCATGACATCTGCAACATTACCACGTGATTGACTTGTGTTTCTTTTTTCTAACTATAGTTTTTTGTGAAACTATATTTATTTAGCAGAAAATTACTTTCCTGAATACACGTGTTTTACATTATTATTCATTTGTAATTATTTAAAAAATGTGCCTACTCATGATTACACAAAGTTAGTAATCAAAAAATGTTAAAATAAAAATTGTAATACTTAAAGTAGTTAAACAGTTGTTTAGATGTATTCACTAGCATTTCTTTTCATCATTGGTATCAAAATTAGTTTGAAGAATCATTGTATTTCACTGGTATTGGTCAGGGATACTGACAATACTAACTCCTTGTATCCCATCGTGATGCATTGAGAATCGTTTTGTAACCGAATTGTTAACCTTTGAAACGTTATTAAAGCAAGCCAGTGAAGATTTACACCTTTATTCTTATGGATATCATGAAATCATAATTGTGATTTGTGTGTGAGTGAGAGTGATCCATTTAACAAGAACCAAAATGTAGGACACGATTTAATTTTTTTGTATAAAAAATTAAATTACTTTATTGTGACTGATAAAATTAAGTCCTGTCATACTTTTTTTTCTATAGTCGAATCATACAGGTTAGGAATGTTGACTTTTAACGATTGCTGCATAATCTCCTCCTAATGTTTTTTTTTTTTAGATAGAATCTGCAATGACCTACTATGTTGTGTTTTGTTTGATACAGAAAGTTCTATGAAACAAAAAGGAATCATGGGAAATGTGGGTTTGCTGGTGATCACGGATATGACAATAAGATCAACAGCATGCAGGTTTGTTTTTTGAATTACTTCTTTAATGGCTAAGCTGAAAGTGTTATGTTAAAGTTGTGGTACATTAGTTACTTATGTTGGGCTTTTTTTTCCAGACCATTTTCCTTGGATATGGACCAGCTTTTAAATTCAAGACAAAAATTCCACCATTTGAGAATATTGAGCTTTACAATGTCATGTGTGGTGAGGAAAAGTGCCTTTCATTTTTTATTCTCTAGGCTTGATCCTCCTGACTACCACAATAATTTTGAGTTTCAATACAAAAGCACTGATCTCTATTCATAACATTTGCATAATGATCAAGGTTGCCAGGTCTGCATGACAAGGACAGGTAAATGTCCAACCAAAATTAGGCAAGCTCAAAATATATCCAATCACAAAGCAAATACAAAACTTTTGAATAGCATTTCCCGATATAAGCAGCATAAAAACTTTGAAAAGTTAAACATTTCCCCAAGATCTTGCACTATTTTTCTATATTAATCAATGTAATAATGCATTAGTGGCATTAAAGTAAAGTCTGCGAGTGACCTCTTCTGTCTGGCATCAGAGATCAGTTAGGATCTAAGAATGGATTAAAAGTAGATTATGTCATATAAATTTAATTGAAATTCATTGAATTCCTTCATAAATTAATTTCTATTTAGAAAATTAAAAATATAATTTAAACAATTAAAAAAGAATAATACATTTAAATAAATAAATAAAAAAATACCCACAGCAAACATGTAAAAGTTGCTCAATACCATAAAAACTGCATACTTGGCAACTCTAAGAACACTTGATTGTTTAATGCTTTACAAGCACATTAACACATCAGATCTTTTGCCTCCATGATCTTCCCAGATCTCCTTGGCTTGAAACCAGCCCCTAACAATGGTACCCATGGTAGCCTTAACCAGCTCCTAAGGACCCCTCTATACACACCCAGCATGCCTGAAGAAGTGTCTAAGCCAAACCCTGCAGGACTAGTCACAGCTGTTAATGATGATCTGGGCTGCACCTGTGAAGACAAGGTCAGCAATAGAGTACTTTCAGATCTTTATTAATCTTCTTAATCGTCTGTTAAGAAATGTTGATTCTAAACCCTTAAAACCTAGGTTATTATTGGTGTTTGCTGAGGCAAGCATCGCTATTACTGTTGATTATAATTACCATGATATCGAACTTTGGTACATAATTTGTCCCTATTGTGCTATTACTTTTCTAAGCAATTTGACTTTTTTTTTATCTGGCAGATAATAAAACAAGCAAAAAACGTATCATGCACTTTCAATGAAGTAGGAACCCATATCATATTTTGGGACCAGAATATCATAAACACTTGGCAATGTTTTTTTGTTTATTTTTTTTCGGCTAGTAAGCAACAACTCAGCAATGTGCTTTCAACCACCCAATTGCAAGCATTACTCACAATTCCTGAGAAATTATAGTTTAGAAGATTTAGTTATTTCTGATTGTTTCTATTTTAGTAATTATAGTTTAGTAGATTTAGTTCCTTCTGTTTGTTTCTATTTTAAAACGTACAGTTCCGGATTATTGTGCTACATTTTATGATTGCAATTTAATGAGGTAGATGACCAGATTCTAAAGCAGTCTTTACTGTTGCTATCACAGTTTATTTTTATTTGCAGAAACCCTCATTAAATCTTGTAATGTGCATGTTCCCATGCTTTTATCAGTTATCATTGTTGCATGCTTTAATGTCTGTAAGTTTTTTCCTTGAGTCCTGCTCAGAAACGATAGTTGGCTGCCAATGCTTTTCTCTTGAACTGCCTAGGTCAGGGGTTTTCAAAGTTTCTTGAAGCCTCCCCAGCACTGCACATTTTGGATGTTTCTCTTATTGAACACACCAAACTCAGGTCATGGAGTACTCTGCTATTCAGCCGATGACTTAATTCACTTGGGTTACAGAAGGGAGACATCCAAAAATCTGTAGTGCTGGAGAGGCTCCAGGAACGGTTTGAAAACCCCTGGCCTAGATTATTTTGACATTTCCTTGTATTGGATCAAAGTGATTCATCCTCTTGCCTCTGAAAGTGCTTTTGCCTTCTGCTCAGATGTAGATCTCTTGCTGGAGATTTTCACCTTTAATCTTTTGCAGTTGCGTTCAAAAAATAGGGGGCAGAGGGCATTGAAAGTGACCCTTGTAAGAGGCTATAACCTGGAGTCACTGTGGCTCTGTCTGTTACAGAACAAAGTGGAAGAGCTCAATCAACGACTGAGACAAGTTATTGATGGTAACTCCCTTCCCTTCTCTCTGGAATGCTTTAGTGATGCTGAACAGCTTTTTGATGCACAGCTAACAGTTAGCTGCTATGGTTCATATTGAGTGTTATCTTAATATTATTTGCCTATCAAAAGGGAATAGCTGACCCAATTATACAACTCTGTCAGTATTTAGTCATTCTCATTTACTGCGCTATTACTTACTAATTCGTTAATCAGTGTTTCTTTTTAGTTAATAGTAGTTACTAGATTGTTAATAAACTTTTCAGTAGTTCTCTGGGAAGCATTAAAAAATAGTATATTGATTAGTTAATAGTGAACTACCACTTTCATCTGTGCGCTATTACTTACTAGTTCTTTAATCAGAGTTTCTTGTTAGTTAATAATAATTACTAGATTGTTAATAAAGAACTCATTGGTTCTTGTGTAGTTATTCATTAACGAAGTAACCGTATTCTAAAGTGTTACCAAGTTCTTTAACTTTGTGTTTTACGCATCTCAGAACAGCTCGGTTCACAGTGGATGAATGCAGTGAACTGCATGTGCTGTGAGTTTAGCATGCATTTGGGAACGCAACGGGCACCAGTTACGATTTATTTTCACATTCGCATAATTTCCAACATTTTTATGGGCAGATGATTACAGCATTTCACTAGATTTGTAATGAGACGCATTTGTAAACCTGTTTTCACAGAAATGGCTAGTGGCAGGAAAATGAGAACAAAGGAAACAGGATTAAACTAGAATTAAACCAAAACAGAACATACACGTGACAATAACATGCTGGAAATTAATTGACAGTGTTTTTATTTTTGGGTGAACTAACCCTTGCCTGGTTTAAAGGGATTATACAGCCCAAATATATTTGTAATAATCTAACATAATTTTGGCCCATCCACTGAAAGTCCATACAACCAATACTTTCAAACTTCAAAATGTACATAAAGACATTGTAATCCATATGAATCAAGCGCTTTGATCCAAGTTTTCTGAACAGAAATTATCGCTTTTTGAAAATGTTTGGTTTTGTGGACTTTTAATTGATGTACTAATTGATGGTGTACTATTTTGTTATTCTGGTTTTCTTTTTTCATATTAAGAGATTACTCCTACTTTTGATTTTGTTTTTCATTTTTAGACAACAAGAATCTTCCTTATGGTCGTCCAGCGGTCATGTTCCGCACCAAATACTGCATCCTTCATCATAGTGAATACATTAGCGGCTACAGTGAAGCTTTGTCTATGCCTCTCTGGACATCTTATACTGTATCTAAGCAGGTACAATTGACAAAATGATGTTAGTTTGTTGTCAATTCACAAAAAAATAAAATAGGTAAACTGTTGACTGTTGTATTAGAGTCTTAACTTGAATTTGTGGCTTTTCTGTTGCAGGTAGATTTCACCCCTCTGACTGAGGATCTGAGTAGCTGTGTTCGGCCTGATATTAGAGTTCTTCCAACCTACAGTCAGTCCTGCTCAAGCTACCGCGCAGACAAACAGATCTCCTACAGCTTCCTCTATCCACCTCGTGAGGCTTCCTTCTCTCTATAGTGTACACCCTAGCCTCAGTAATGTCATGTACTAAATATAAGCCAATTCCAGAAACCAGCAAGACAGGATTAGTACAGCATTGGGCTTAATCTTAATTGGTCTTCTGTCCTGAAAATCAAGTTTATAGGACCCAAAACTGTGTCAAAGGATAAAATTAAAATTTATATCTCAATTGATAGAATTGGGTCAGAGCATATTTTTTAGTACACAGTTTTTAGTGTTTTTAGTTTTGTGCTTTCACACAAATTGGTATAAAACTGCAAGAATTTTGACTTTATTATTCGATGTGTGTTAAAAAAAATGTATGATCTTATAATTGACAGAGCTTTCCTCCACCCTGGAACCGAGATATGATGCTGTTCTCATTACCAATACTGTACCAATGTATCCAGCATTCAAACGTAAGTGTTCTTTTAATGCTTGCATTGATTCCTCATTGAGTCAGCCAAGATTATAACCGCATTTTTTTCTACAATAATTTAAAGGTCTTAAAGTCTTAAAATCTTTTTTTTTGTGAGTGCATGTTATAGGTCTTTTGTGAACAATTTATCTGTGCATATGTTTCTTTTCATTTTTAAAATTTTGACCTTGTAATTAATCAAAGTGCCTTCTAGTGAAAATGACACTTGATCATATAATTAAAGAGCAAGGGGGAAACAGATTTGATGTGTCTATATCTAAAAATTTGATCTTGAATTGAGACTGAGCTCTCAGATTACCCAACATCTGTTGAAAAATACCTAAAGTAACAAATATAAGCCTAAAGGTGGAGAAACACTGTCAGAGGGAGGTAGGTTAAGTTACTGCTTATATACCTTTGTAACATGATTGATGGGATTAAACGAACAAACTCCTCATCTGAACATCTTTTATTGTGCTTAAACCCTGCCCCTGCAAGCTTGCATTCATCTCCCCCCTTTTTTGAGTGCCACATCCAAATCTCAAAATCTAATCAACAACAACTGATAGATAGAAGCAAGTCGCCGTCCTATATTTTTTCTTTTCCGATAATCTGTTTCACTCGGATGGATGTCACAATACGGAACAAAAGATCTGTTGCTACTTCCACTTCATCAAGACTTTAACAGTTGGGCAGATTGCATACCTAGCTTTAAAGATAAGTCCTGTATTGTTAGGTAGGAGGTATGAATTGACTGGTAGGCCCATGGGCCGATAAACCATGGAGGCCCCTCAGAGGTAATGTTAATACAATTAAATTCACCCACTACACCCACAAATGAAATTAAATAATAATAATAAAACAGGTGCTGTCATTTACTGAATTAAAAAAATTAATTAGTTAAAAAAAAATTTTAAAAGCACTTGGTGCCAGATTTACTAACAGTTTGTGCCAGCGCAAACCCTCCTTTGGCATTAAAAACTACTGTCAGGGTTTACAAAAGACTTGAAGTGAAATATTTTGGGATGAAAAGGCACGGACACAGTAATTTTTAAGGCTGACCTTATTGTATATGCATTTGTAGGATTTTCCCCTTTCAGATTCAAACTTTATAGGAGGAGAGTATTTAAATAAATCATGCAACATGATTTACTAAGGTATGTAGTCAATTTACTGGTATTTGCTGCATTATTTAACAGCCCAAAAAACACGTCTTAACCCATTTTGCACTTGGATGGCTGCAATAGTTGCTGCTAAGTGGAGGCACTGCAGAGAGCATGTGGTAGAAGGGAGAGAATTTTCTCCACTCAGGGCAATTATTGTGAAATGCCAGTTCAGACGTTATCCGAACATATTGGTTTGCTGTCCCTGTGTTGTTCGTAGATGCCCCGTACCTGATTATCATTGGCTCTGCTTGTTTGCAACCATTATGGCCCCCAGGAAACCCTACAAAAAAAAGGTGAAAATGAAATTAAGTGTTCTTGTGTGTGCGTGCGTGAATTAATTTGTACATCTGTCTGTGAATTAGAGGCATATGTGTGTGTGGCCTGTAGTAGCACATCGAAAACAAGCCACCTAAGAGCCACCTCTGTTTCAGAAGAAGGAACTGTACACACACGTTGCATCCCCTCATAGGAAATGAGTCCCCACAAAGACACCCAAACAAAATGCTTACTCAAATATTCACAGAAAACATTATTTAGATGTAAATAAAATTTCCTTTATACTAGTTCAGGTTTACAAACAGACTCCCCACATGTAATTTGCCTTTCTGGAATCTGTAAATGTGTATTTAGAGGGTTTGGCAGCAGAGGTGAAAGGAGAGTGCAGTGATGAATGCTGTGTCTGCTTTAGATTAGCTGTGCTGGGCTCAGGCAGTTAACTGAGCTGCCACCCACAGAGGGACACAACCCATTCCATAGCTTACAGCAGAATGTGCTCTCTGTCTTTTTTCAAAACATGTTTTAAAAAATCCTCTCTTACTACTCTGTACTAAACTTAAAGAGCTATTTCTGAAGTATTTAACTCATTCAAATTGTTTTGTTGGTATAAATTAATGTATTTATCATGCGAGTGGTTGTAGTAATTGTCAAAGACAATGGAGCATCCAAAACAAAAACTTTATTTCTAATTTAACCAGGAACACCCAGGTGATTGCAGGAGTAATATTAATTATAGAACACAACGACTCAAAACAATGACAATAACCAACCGACTAATACTGCAAACTAAATACAAATAACAAACAAGGGAACTAGACAAGACACGGGATAACATAATGGGTAACAATATAAACAAATAGGGACATAATCAGAAACCAAGGAAGCCAAAACTAAATAGAGCGAAGGAACAGGAAAAAACATGAAACGGAACATAACCATGACATAACACCCCCTCCCGAAAGCTGGCGAGCTGATGATGGACAGGACACCTGTGGAGCAGGCAGAGGAAGATCCTATGGTGGAGCTGACTGAGGGAGGAGCTAGGGTGGAGTTTTGCTGATGATCCGGGCCAAACCTGGGGCAGAAATGGTCTTATGATTGGGAGATACCAGCCTGTGGCTCTACCAGAGGAGAAAATGTAATGGCCCACTTGTATCACGTGTGCCTTGATAACCAATCACATTACAGCCTTGATGCAAAATTGTCCATGATTTCTTTTATAAAAAAAAAAAAAAATGTCATTGTAATTTCTAGGAAATCCAAAACAAATATTTAGGGGCAAATTTTCCCATAAAAGCAGTTTATTCAGTGTAGTGAAACCTCTTCTCCATTAACATCTATCTATAAAAATGGCCCCTGGTCTCCTTTCCAATTACTTTGCTAACCTTGGAGGCGTGCCTTAAAGCGGCTTAGCCTGGGGACAGCCTGACTGACAGAGCCAGAAGAGGTGGTGATCGAGACCAGAGACCAAGAGGATGACTGTCCAGGGCGACACTGAAGGCCTGAAAGTCCAAGGCGGAGCTGCCGGCTTGCGGGGCCGAGGTGGAGCCGGGGGCTTGGCAGACTCAGGTGACGCCAGAGGGAGTGAGGACAAAGGTGGGGACGGAGGGAAGGAGTAACCCGGTGGAGCCAATGGTGTAAAGGGCTGAGGAGCAGCCGGAGGCCCTGAAGTCCGCAATATAACCAGAACAACAAGGGAACAAGGTGGAGCCGGAGGATCGAATGAGCCCGGTGGAGCCACAGGGATGATGGATCACGGTAGAGCTGAAGGAACGCAGGGCCAAGACGGAGCCAACAGGCTGACAGGATGAGGTGAAGTCATGAGCCTGGAACCTCTGCTTCTGGCTCGGGAATGGTCTGAGCAGTAGGCGATGATTCTTGGGCTGACCTGGCAGAAAGATCCGGTCTTGGGACAGATATTGTGGCCAGATCCGGTGGCTGGCTCTGGCTCCATTGTTGGAGTGCGCTCTAGTGTGGGGTCCGTGGCAGGCTCAGGCTAGGGCTCTAGTTCCGTGGTGGGCTTCATCACTGGGCCCATGGTGGGTGCAGGGGCTGAAGGGGTCCTTCTCCTTTGCCGCACATATGGTGAAGGAGGATACATTCATTGTAATGTTCGTACATAGGATGGTATTTTTACCAGCTGAGAACTTGTGAAGAGCTTGTAAAAATGAAGATTATAAACAAGATCTGCTGCAGGGTAATGCCTGTACCAAACTGTAATGGGTAAAGACGTTCCTATGATGAGGAAAGCCAGATATGCTTGAGCATTCTGTCCTTTTTAGGGTTACATCTTGTGACACCATGTGACTGTAAGGTGTAACATGAGGACTGAGTGTATAAATTTGTGTCATGGTTTGAATAATTCTGAACATAGATACTATGATGCAAGAAAAATGTCACACTTTGTCTGACACTGAAGTATTATCGTAGGCCATTGTATTGTATCGTACTCATGTACAAGAAGTCAGATTTTCTTCTTTTTTGAAGCACAAGATGCTCTTTTTCAGATTTCCAGGAAACTTCTAGAATTAACAGTCCTAAGAAATTCTGAAATACGTATTTAAATAAAAATCTTTCACTCAAAATCATTATGCTAAACTTTAATCTCTGTTCTGGCCTTTAAAGATGCATTTCTCGTCCTAACTTTTAACTATTCTCTCTCTCTCTCTCTCTCTCTCTCTCTCTCTCTCTCTCTCTCTCTCTCTCTCTCTCTCTCTCTCTCTCTCTCTCTCTCTCTCTCTCTTATATCTTTTTTTGGCTGTTTCAGGTGTGTGGGGTTATTTCCAGAAATCACTTGTGAAACGTTATGCTAGTGAGAGAAATGGAGTGAATGTGGTCGTTGGGCCCATCTTCGACTATGACTACAATGGTCTTAGAGATTCAGCAGAGACAATAAAACAGTAAGTTGTCTTCACAGTCTTATACTCATCACTTATCATATACAGTACATTAATTAATTTTGTCACGAAACAGTGAGAGAGGACTCAAGCACAGAATGAGTTTTAAACAGTTTATTGAGACACACAGCAGGCAGGACAAGAGAGGAGGTGAACATAATCCAACAGAAGACAAGGAAGCACAAAGACCAACTTGACTTGACTTTGACTTGACCCACACAACAGGAAACGTAGACAGGAACAACATACAACGAAATCCACAACTGGAACAATGGAAAAGCAAATGAGGCAATAAGTAACACAGGTAGCACAACACACTCAATTACAACAACCTGGCAAAAAATTTGTGAGAGAGAGCACAATAAATAAGGAGCAGAGATCATGAGGAACAGGTGAGCACACTCAGAAGAATGAAGAGGGCTTAAACAAGGGGGCGTGGTAACAGGAAACATGGAGGCTGGAGGAGAGGAGCACATGGCGAGCACATGGCCAACACAAACAGAGACAGAGCCATGTGCTCAAGCACAAAACCAACAAGGAAACATTAAACCAAGATAAGACAGACAGATAAGAACCCTTTAAGACAAATTTAAGTGCACATGCAGTGGATATAAAAAGTCTACACACCCGTTAAAACAGCTGATTTTTGTTATATAAAAAATTAAACAAAGATAAATCATATCAGAACTTTTGCACCTTTGATGTAAAAACCTATGCAGTACCACTGAAATCCAAAGTGATACGCTCAGCTGAGGGCTACAAAAAAAAACATTGCCAAGGCGATAGATATAGTTATTATATGATTTATCTTTGTTTCATTTTTTCCATCATAAAAAAACAGCTATTTAAACAGAGGTGTGTAGACATACTGTATCTCTGTATCACATTATGATCTTACTAGTTATCCCAAAAAAATGACCAGTTGTTGACTGGTCTGTGGGTCAGAGTTTATCTTGTGTAAATAACTCCACATGCAGCAGCTGCATCAGCGGTTTTTGCTCTTTCTGGCAAAAGCAATACTGTGTTGACAGACAGTATGTGAGTGGAAAGAATGTCTGTGCATCTGAGATGATGTGGGGTAACAAATGAAAGTATGCATATCTCCATTACCAGATTTATAATGCAACTGAAGTTATTTGATCCATGACTAGTTGACACAAAACTAGCATTTTACAAGCCCTAATATGTACATACTTTAATTTTATATAATCCTTCAGTCTGAGTATGTAACTCTTTCTTTGTTTACAGATATGTCAGTGGCTCTGTGCAAATCCCAACTCATTACTACATTGTTGTTACAAGTTGTCTGGATTACACACAGACTCCTGACTCCTGTGCTGGCCCTCTAAGTGCATTCTCTTTCATCCTTCCACACCGATCAGATAATGATGAGACCTGTAATGTAAGTCCTCTCCTCTCCTCTCCTCTCCTCTCCTCTCCTCTCCTCTCCTCTCCTCTCCTCTCCTCTCCTCTCCTCTCCTCTCCTCTCCTCGTCTCTTCATGCTGTTTATTACCAGACATTTACAGTAACATTACTTACATTGGTAAATTGAAGCTTAGCAGGCAGTCTCACTGTTATGTAAGATAGTAATTATGCAACTATTCTGCTGTCAGAAGAATTTCTGCTAATACAATCACTTACCAAACTTACCCGTGCAAAGTTACATGGACAATGGACATGAGCACCAAAATCATACTTTTAAAAATTCCAGTGGGAATGTGCATACCCCTCAACATACAGTATGTGTAATTGCGCTCCTGATATTAGTCATGTATAACCAGAAGATTTTTCCACCTAGAAAAGTAGTCCCTTCACAACAATGATTTAGGCAGCTTTATAGCTCAACATTTTTATTGAGTACATGTAAGTGCTTAAAAATACAAGCTGTCTGTTTACATTGCTTCCATTATAATTATACTTGCTAAATGTGTTTCTTATTACTTTAAAGTATTGCCCGTAGTACACAACAGCAAGTCACAGATGTGATACTGAAAAAAGGTGAAATTAATTTTGACAAAAACTTGATAATAAAAAAATCCAAATATTTACATAACCATCTAAATGTTGTTCGCTGCAAACGTATTTTGGTTTCACTTTATTTTGATGGTCCCTTTAATAACACATTCTGTTGACTGTAAGTAACATTGCACCTACATGTCATAAGAGTTTTAGTTGAGTATTATTAAACTTATAGGGTTAGAGTTAGATTAAGTTGACATGTACTGTAGTTGCAAAGTTACTTAGTCAGTAGAATGTCTGTTGGGGGACCATCACAATAAACAGTTTGCAGAAAGCAGACAATCTACTAATACTCTAATGACTGCTAGTTGACATGTAGTTGCAAAGTTACTTATAGTCATAGTTCAAAAGGGACCATCAAAATAAAGTATTCCTAGTATTTCCAACTTTTTACTTCTAAGCAAAGAACAAAAAAGAACTTCGCTGTGAGTATATCGGTGCCTTAAATCACATTCTTGTAAATTTAATTGTGCTGGTAAAAGCAACCAGCTCGTTTGTAGTTTGCAGTTTACTTAAGGGCCACCAGTGTCGGTAATAATAGGGTTTCTGAATTCTACATATAGCCACTTTAAATTGTACATGTTCAGGGTGTTTACACGACAACGATGTACAAAAAATGGAAAAGTTTTTCATTTGTGTTTTTCGCATACAAACGACGTTGTCAAAATTATCCCTGTTCCCACGGATCCGTAAAAACAATTAAAAAACGCTGTATTATATGCATGCAAAGAAAAGTTTTTTTTATGTGAAGAAAAACGACATATACTACTAACACGTAATATGCATGCGTGCATAACGTCACCGTTTTCACAAATTCATGTTTTTTTAGTCTACACAACATAATGTTGTTGCACGTTTTTAAAAACGTGCACTTAGAACCCGTTCTCAAAAGTTTTTCAGTCCACCAAAACGCCGTCGTGTACAGGTGAAACTCGAAAAATTTGAATATTGTGCAAAAGTTAATTTATTTCAGTAATTCAACTTAAAAGGTGAAACTAATATATTATATAGACTCATTACATGCAAAGTGAGATATTTCAAGCCTTTATTTGTTATAATTGTGATGATTATGGATTACAGCTATGAAAACCTTTTCACAATATTCTAATTTTGACTTTGGGGTTTTCATAAGCTACAAGCCATAATCATCACAATTATAACAAATAAAGGGTTGAAATATCTCACTTTGCATGTAATGAGTCTATATAATATATTAGTTTCACCTTTTAACTTCAATTACTGAAATAAATGAACTTTTGCACTATATTCAATTTTTTCGAGTTTCACCTGTAAATTAAAGGGCAAAGTTTTTAGTTGAAAATGGTGTCGTGTAAATGGCCCCTCACCATTTTCAACTAAAAACTAAGGAGTCTATAATTGAAGTCAGAGGCAAAAACAGCATTAAACACACGTTTTGTCATACAGAGTTCAGAAGACGACTCAAAGTGGGTGGATGAACTAATGAAGACACACACAGCGCGCCTACGGGACGTGGAGTTACTCACAGGACTAGATTTTTATCGCCGCACCAGCAGGACCTATGAGGAGATTCTCTCTCTAAAAGTGTACTTACACACATATGAGAGTGAGATCTAAACCACTGCATCCCTGCATTAGCATTCCCTACATCTTAACTCTCAGGATGCAGAAGTAAGGTGTATATTTTTATAGAATCTATCATATTTATTTTTGGTTGCACTTTATTTTAAGGTGTCCGTGTTGCAGTATAGTTATACATTTAAGTACTGAGTAGTAATAATTAGCTACATGTACTTAGTATAGGGTTAGGAATAGGGGTTGGTTTAGGGTTAGTTACATGCAATTATGCACAATTTATAGTAATTACTATAGTAACTACATGTAACATGTAACAAGGACACTGTGAAATAAAGTGTTACCTAATTTCTTTATTGCTAGTCCTTAAGTGTATGTTTTTACATTCTCCTACTTTATGACTGTAAATTATACCCATGAGTAAACTTTTTTATGAATTTTGTAATACTGTATAAATGTGTTGACTGGTGATGTTTATGTGCTCAAAGTAACCATTTTTTTAATGTCTGTACAAATTGTTCTATTTTAACATTTTCAAAATGTTTTGTTTCTGATTTTAGGCCATTAAAGATTTTAGGTCATTAACATGCTCGTTTTAAAGAGAATAGCTCCGACTGGTGGTTATATGGCAGTTTGCAGGCTATTGTCCAACAAGAGATTATTTCTTGTATATGTTACTTTTGTTGTTCACAATGTTTTATTTTATGGATCATCAATAAACATACAACAGCCTTGTGTTAAGTGTTTGTCTCTTTCAAGTACAAGAATCCAATGCATGGACAAATGAAATGTGTTTTTGTATAATGCTTTAGTTTGATTGACATCTTTATCCAGGCAGTCTCAAGCAATTTTGCACCTGTGAGTTTGTGTGTTCACCTATTCAGTTATAATTTGTGTAACATGTCTGGTGGCTGTAGAAAGTGCACGACGAAGGAGATGGTGATAGATACAATGGTTGAATCCGAAATCACCCCCTATACCTTCAAATAGGGCGTTATTTGAGGGGACCGCCATTTGTAGTGGTGTCCGAAACCCAGTGTTGGGGTTACTTTAAAAAAGTAATTAGTCATAGTTACTAGTTACTTCTCAGAAAAAGTAACTGAGTTACATCATTATAAAAGTAACTAATTACCTGGGAAAGTAACTATTGTGTTACTAAAAAAAAAAAAAAAAAAAAAAGTGAAATAACTTTGATGCCCCGAATATTAAGGATTAAGGCCATCAAGCTGTAGATTCCAGGCAACCTGTAACCCATGTTTTTCCAACCTTATACCCGTGAAAGTGCACTGGAACTGCAGTCAAACCCGTGACTTCCCATCCGTGAACTCATACTAGATCGATGTACTCCCAGTTACGAGCTCTGACGTCACATAGCCCGCGAAACCATACAAAACAACAATGGTTTGTTTACAGCTACCACAATTCCTTGCGCTCAGGTAGTTTGGCGTGACTGGCCTGGAACGCTACAAAGTCGTGAGTCGTGGTTTGAAGTCGCGATTTACGTGCTCAAAAACCTTTCTGGAACGCAGCATAAGGCCATCAAGCTGTAGATTGGTCAAAGAGTGCTCGGCTTGTGAGCAGATAGCAGTTTCATATTGTATGGGCGGCCGATGTTGTGTGATTGCTTTGCAGTTCTTTAGGATTGTTTAGTGAATTCCACCACGTGCATCATTTCAGACTGTAAGTGTTTATTTTTTATTGTTTAGTCTAATCATTATCATTACCCTATTAGATGTATTATAAGAGATTTCTTCAGTTGTAAAAGAATAGCTGCTATATTCTGCATGTTTTATGCTTTTGCAATATCTGTGATAATGACTCAGCACTTTGTTATACGAATTGTATCAGAAAACAAATTGGGCCTTATTTGTTTTATTATAGAACCACGTTTATCAAGCCAACCACGCTCAACACATATCACACACATTCATCACGCACTCTGATTTTATCAGTTTTTGTGTAACAGACAAAGCTACACGCCTCACGGATTATACTGTTACATCGCATCACAGTCTATTATGACCCAGACAAGGATACAGTACATATCGACGCATAACTGCCTGTTCAAGTTCCTGTGTCAAGATTACAATGCGTCTGAGGATCAACATCTATCTGCATCTTTCCTTCCCGGAGTCTTGACTGGACTTTCTCTAAAACTCTAAGACTTTTAAAACTCTAGGACTTTTCTCTAAGACTCATTTGGACTGAGCACCTTCTTACCATTGCCAGATCTCCACGTCTCTTTTGAATCAAATCCTATTCTATTACGTTGTTTGTTTATTGTTTTGCGCAGGCCTAGGCTATTTTATGCGTTTTATCTGATAAATAGTTATACTTCTATTGACAAATTGTGAGCTAGTTAATTCTTAATTGACTCACTACATTGACTGAATCGAACCCATTTACTCCTCTCCTAGTCACTGGACATTAATTGGGTAAAATGGTCCACTAAGGCAGTGGTTCTCAACTCCAGTCCTCGGGACCCACGGCTCTGCACATTTTGTATGTCTCCTTATTTAACACACCTGATTCATTTCATAAGCTCGTTAGGAGAGACTCCATGAACTGAACTGAGTGTGTCAGATAAGAGAGACATACAAAATGTGCAGAGCAGCGGGTCCCGAGGACTGGAGTTGAGAACCACTGCACTAAGGTGATTTAGAACCATAACTAATCAGTGCATTATCCACCTTATTTTTCAGGTAAGAGTGGTGGATGCAGCCATTTGTAATTTTAATGTGTCTGGCTTCCGGTGTCATTCGCTTCCAGTCATTTTTAGCTGTTCTCATCAAACCAGGACCTTCAGCGTGCACTGGGATGATTTGCAACCGAGTGTGAAGCGGCTAGGATGAGAACCAGCAGCTCCAAGTCCGAGGCCATGGTTCTCAGTCGTAAAAAGGGTGGCTTGCTCGCTTCAGGTTGGTGGAGAGTTCATGCCTCAAATGGAGTTCAATTATCTTGGGGTCTTGTTCACGTGTGAGGGAAGGATGGAACGGGAGATGGATGGATGGATGGAGTCACCCCTCAGGTCCTACTCGCCCCGCTCTGTGCAGGCCTTGAAAATGGGTCTCCGGCTTGGGAGGAAGGCGCTCTAACAGGGAGGCTAAAGACCGCAGTCGCTAGAGCAACTCTTGAGATCACGGGAGTGAGGTTTACCTGCACAGCTCTTACTTGCTGGCCTCAGTTACATATGGTAACTAAACGTCTAAACTTTAGAGGAGACAAATGTGAGTGATCCAGAGTCTCTATAAGGAGAAAAATATGAGCACAGTGTGTGATGTTGTTGAGATCTCGTCAGAATCTTTAGAGGAGACAAATGTGATACCCCCGGAGTCTTTAGTTTGAGAAAAATCTGAGCACTGTGTGTGTTGAGGTCTCTTCTAAAACTTTAAAGGAGACCATTGTGAGCATTCCTTTGTCTCAGGAGAAGCGACTCAAGCAAAAGTCTCCATTTGATGTTAATGTAATCTAGTAGAAACTTTTGAGATGCCAGTATTTACAATAAAATATATATATAAAATATAGGATGTTTATCCTAAAATAAAATTGATGACAAAACTAATACCTAAATGAGGAATAAGAGAATCACTACTTAGTAGCATCTGTCAAAGCTATAGCCTTGTGGGAAGCACATCAACATCGAGACACAACTGCACCTCAGACAGCACAAGTTTGTGTCCCAGCTAAAGGTACTTTACTGCTCCTGTTCCCTTCTCACCTCTCCCATTGTTTCCTGTCTTTCTTCCTATTGTTCTGTCCATTAAAGATTAAAACCCCCAATGGCATAAAATGATAATAATAAAAAGCAGCCTCTGCAAGACAGTTGTAATAATGGTCCACTGAAGGCAAGTTTGTAGAGAACCCAAGTGCAGTTTATTTACAAAACGTGATCAAACATAAAACAAATGCATGGGACATGGAGCTTACCAACAGAAGTTACATGAAACAATACTTGACAAGGAGCAAGGCAAACATGAGGGTTTAAATACACAAGGACTAATGACAAGACAAGGGACACCTGTGAGCAATGAAACAATGAACCAATGACAACACAGAACACATGGCTGGATCACATGATAGAACAGGGGATCACATGACAGACATGAAACAAAACCAAATCATGACAACAATAAAGAGATCTCCCATGTTTCTCACAGCCCATTCTCATTTTGGACTCTTTTTCTCAGAACTTTCTCAGTTGTGTCTACTTTTATTTCTCCTTAGAAATTTTAGAAGCATCTGAGACACCGTTGATACTAAAATGCGAGATATTTGAGAATCAAACCTAAGTCTCCTAAGCTTAAACAGAGCAACATCTGAGCAATAAAATATTCCTATAAGTCTTAAGAGAGATTGCAGCAAGACAATAAAGAGATGTTCTATTTTTCTTCTGCCATATTCTCAGTTTTGACTCTTTTGCTCTCAAATATTTATCATGTCTCATTTGTGTCTATTTTTATTTATCCTAAGATATTTTAGGAGAAACATCTGAAATTATATTGATACAACAATGAGAGATATATGACAATCACAAATTAGCATCCTAAGCTTAGGAAAAGCAACTGAGCAATAAATGTTTCCTCTAAGAAAGGCTACTGCCTTAATCGAAGCCTTGTCTGTGAAACCAGGCAGGAATGCATTACTCATACATTTTTAAGGCTGAATGAAAAATGAAATGATACTCTAAATAATAAACTAAAATTAAGTGGCGGCAACTCACTAATGACCCTTATGAAAAATAAGTTTATTCAAGTGTGCTATAAGTATACTTCTTTTAAGCTAAAAATAAGAAAGTAGTGCTTTCAGTCTACTTTTTATGTACTTCTCGGAAATATACTTAATGTAGCCTACTTCTCAGAAATATACTTAAAACAGCATTTAACATTCACCAATAGGCTACATTTTATTTCCATACTCGAAAACACCATTTAAAATATCAATGACAAATATATTTATATATAACATCATAAAAAAATGAGTAAAATCCAAGTCCTCATTCAGTCCTGGATATATATTAGCCTTTATTTTATAAATCCAAAACATCTCTCTTTGATTCAGCTAAGTTCTCTATTATTCACATGATCAGTTCCTATTATTATAAGGATAGATGGATTACTATTATGTATTAGTTTAAAATGTTTTGCCATTTACCCCTCCTGATGGCATATTTATGTTCAGCCAATCGATCCAGTAATAGTATTTTTGTTCTCCCAATATAAAACACCTTACATTGAGGATATTCCAGTCTATAAATATCATAAGTTGTTTGACAATTAATAAAATGTTTAATAGAATAGATCTTCTTTGTCTTTACATCTAAAAACGTTT